GAAACAGCTGGTAGGGAAGATTTTACTCACGATAATGTACAATTGATAAGAATTCATTGTGAACTATGTTCAAGAAAACTTTCTCTCTTATTCAAGTGGTTTCCATCGATTCTATGTGTTGAGTTTCAATTAGAAGACGATTGTGACGAACTTCAATCAAGCCCAATGGTGCCCACGATAGCAAAAATGCTAGACAAAAAAGCGCATTTGAAGGCAATTTTTTTCATAGAAGAGAAACGCAATGAAACAATGCAATGGATGCGAGAAACATTAAATCAAGAGAATGGTTATAGCGAGTGCGATGCGTCTAAAAAGTATTCGATCGAAGAGAAATCGGATTCCATTGTACTAGAATGGTAACAAATTGAAACTACAACGATGTTTGCGTATGATACAGAAAAAGTTATGTAATAATGCCAGTTGATATTCATATTTAAAAAAAAATAGTCGAAATCATAATGAAGTATAAAGAAGCACAGAGGTGTGGTTTTTTTCTTGATCGGTATACAATTCAATCTTGAGGGTGTGGGTGTACACATGATCTTCATTCCTACTCAGCCTCACCCACATCCTTCCATAAAAATATCCCATAGAACAAGAAAAGTAAAAAGGACATTAAGAGAGAATAACACAGAAAACATTCTATGTAACTATAGTTTCTACTTTGATGGAATTTTCTGTGTGTGTGTGTGAATGTAAATATAGAACAGGAACACCCTCACACCACACCCACATCCTTAAATTCTCATATATGGACTCAAACCGTCACCATCAGCCTCCTACAACCACATAGTCGCACCCGTTGACGAATTTATGTGGGTTTTAGTTTTATTTTTTAAAAAACAGAAACATGTTTCAGAGATATTAAAATCACCTTTGTTGTTTACTGTTACTGTCACAACCATATCTGAATAACATGGGCGACAGTGGAATGTTTTGCGATCGAATAGTTTGATGGTAAATGGGTTTTCAACCGTTGAATCAGATTAGTATTCTCCTCAAAATCCCAATTTTGAAAATGCTTACGATCTTTGCATTGCACACCTAATGAACGAAGATTGATCACATTGTCGACCAGAGATATGATATTTTTCCGATGCTTAACATGAATGGAAAGTACTTCACACTGAATACCCAATGGTGAGCGACTCAATGCCATACATTCGCTCTTATTGAAATGATGATTTCGATTGTGTAAAATGTCTTGTAAATAAAGAACACGAACTGATGGACACTGGCATTGAAAGAGTGACATATGAGCATCTTGAGGGTGTGGGTGTGTGATACTATTCTATTCCATCACACCCACACCCTCAAGATCATTTGTGTCATCTTCATTCAACGAAATCTTCGACTTAAACGTGAACGTCGTCGACAACTGGCTTCAAATGTCCGAAGCGAAGAAGAGAATGCGGATCGAAAACATGATCAACAAGTTGTCGCCATGCTTTTTCTTCAAATAACCGTCTTTGTGATAACTTTAACATCTTGGAACATTCTTTACTTTTATAATGCAGCAACAATTTATGTCACAAATAAATCAGTAGATCGAACAGCTATCGAAGGATTTCTTAGTTATACAGCTGAAGTTATCATTATACTTTTTCCTACCGTTTCATTCTATTTATATACAATGGCATCACAAATATTTCGACAAGAATTAAAAAAGCTTCTATCTCCTTCATTACCATTGAAATGAAAAAATCATCCGAATCAGATTCAACCATCTAAACAGCAACAGAACGACTAATGCAGATATGAAATTAGTTTCAACGGTTACTCATTCTTAATTGTGATCATTAAAGAGCAAAAAGTGTTTGACTTAAAGTAGAAATGTTAAGTGCTTGTAAGAATTTGTACTGTGAAAATAAATGTTGTCGATGTATGTTCTTATCATGATTGTAACGTATTTTATTTGTAAAATAAAAAGATTATTGATACTATCTGATCTTTGACAAATGAACAGATAGTTTAAAGAGAGTGTGAGTTTGGGTGTCTTCTCTTTCACCACCCACACCCTCGCACTCAAGAAATCGTGTTAATCAATCTTTTGAATTGTTCCTCCTGTTGATTTAGGAGCTCGAATAACAGTTGCGGTACCTTTGTATTTCACTGTTCCTTCGCCGTCATCGTCTGATATATTAACTGTTATAGTTTGATTACAGCTGATTTCGGCATAGCCATCTTCACGAATAGTTACGTTAGCTATTTGTGTTGACAGATCAAAACCATGAAGTTTACTGCTGCCACCGACTGTTACTGTCAGGATATTAGCTGTACCCATTAAATGCGCTTTAGAGAAACCATCAATGATAGCCTTGAGTTGTTTGACATGTACAGTCCCATATATCGAATTAAATCCACGACATTCAAGTTCAAATATATCAGCATTGATACCAGCACCAGAAATTTCCACCGATTCCATACTACTCGTTTTCAAGCTAATTAAATGATGAGCGTTGATAAGTACTTCCGTCTCGCTGCTGCCAAGTTGAGTACTAGTCGATCGTGAGTGTGTAGAATTTGATACATGTCGATGTCGTGTGCTACTTGATGATGAACTACCTCCAGTGACTTGAACGGACAAAATGCCCAAATAAACAGATGTTTCGATTTTCACCAAGGACTTTAGTTGGTCACCGATGAGTATAACACTTTCTGGTTTTGTTCTATTCATAGTTAAAATAACCTTGAATATGCCACTTGTTTTAATACCATGAAAGCTAGATACTTGACGTACTTGAGATATTCGGCCATCACTGATGCTGGTCACCGGAGTGGTTAGTCGATTTGATACATCTGGAATGTCTGAAATGATCAAAGAGAACGATCAGTTTTTTTTCGTCGATATAATGTGTTGAAAACAGCTTATAGGTTGTTGGCCATTTATGTTTAACAAGACGTCCTTACATTGTATTTCTCGTTTAGTTCATTTTAGAAGTGTCAATTTAAATTTATTTTAACTTAGTTGGGTGTGGGTGTGGGTGTGGGTGTGGGTCGTGGGTGTGGTTGGGTGGGTGAGAACGGGGATCAAGAAGAGACTATCACCCCAATATTACTGTCACCCACACCCACCCACACCCACACCCACACCCTCACACCACACCCACACCCTCACACCACACCCACACCCACACCCTCAAGATTGCAGACTACCGAGTATTGTAATAATCCAAAATGAAACATTCTACGTCGACATTAATTTTTAGATTTAATAAATTCTTACATGGAGCGCACTAAATATGATTCATTTTTGTAAAGGATCTCTTCTAATACCGATACGTCCATAGTTTTTCAGTGCAAAAATGAATACCAAATTATCACTATCTCGTTTACACTTTTTAGATAGCTACACTTCATTAATTGCTTTTCCTATATATATATTGTAACTCTCTAAAGATGTTGAGCTCTTTGTTAACAGAAAATATACAAATAAGCAAAGTAACCAAGATACACAAACTGTATTACAACTAAATAGCGAGAGCTAATGAACTGTCTTGTCAAGTCTGTCAACTGTATGTATTTCGCTCTTCTCAATAGATGATCTTATGATATACTTGGGCTATTTCGAGGCCAGAAGTAAATTCCGTTATTTGATGGACTTTTATTTCCGTCGGTAGTTTACATAAGCTAGCAAAACTCAAAAGTACTTTCCTATAAGTGCAAATGAGGATCTAGAATACCTCCAAATTAAAGAGGATGGAACGTAAAAGTGTCCTCACAGTACCATGATGATCTAGGATTGATGATAGTAAAAGAGCTATAAGAACGATGAAAAATATGGCAATTGAATTTGTTTTAAATGAAAAGAATTACAAATGACGAGTAAGTTAACCCGTTATCCCCGATAGAGGTTCTACAGGAGATACAGATGAAGTTCTTGCAGGATTATTCTAGTATCTAACCAACTAAGTCAGCCACGAGGATAAACAATGGGGAAGAGAGGAAAGGGAATGACATGAAAAAAGACTCTTCTTGACACATCATTTTTTCCATTTATTTATAAAATGTTCATTGAGTATTGTACAAATATATGGAAAAGACGATGTGTCAAACAAAGTCTTTTTTCATGTTGTTCCTCAATGGTCATCCCACTGATCATTTTGTATATTAGAATATTTTGTCCATCTTGAAACTTATGGAACTAACTCTGAAGGGTTATATTTGTAGCAGATATCAAGCTAGTTACGTATCACTAAGTACTAATCCTCAATGTGTTTTTCTTATCCATAAAAAAAGCTCAACAATCGTTAGTTGTTCATTTTTTCACTGTTGCATAGCTTAGACGATCCACTTTCAAAGGGTATTCGAAGCTTTTAACTTATTTTGAATCTAAAGTATGAGTAATTTAAAGTTAACTTAAATAGGAAAATGACACTCCTACTTGTAAGCCCGACCGTCATAGTCATCTGTTGTTCGGGAAAGATGGAAGAGAAGACTGTAAACCTGCACCGTCAAAACTTAAATACTAGTATCTCGCATTTGCCACCTTAGCTGTCTTCCTTAGCTTTAATCTGAAGTGTTTCTTACAGTTAACTCTTCTGCCAGTATCTGTTCCTTCCGACATAGTATTTTGCTTCTTCGGTTCCTTTTGTTCCTGTTGCCATTCAAAGGATGGATTGATGAATCCGTTCACAGTTATGTTCAGTTGATCAAACTTGCCGTTCAGTTCCTTATGCTTTCGGCTATTATCGGACGACCGATTTGTGGACTCGTCAACGGTAGCAGCAAGCTGTTCGATTCTGTTTTTAAGTTCCTTCTGTTCTCGACTGCATTCAGATGATTGATTAGTGAGTTCTTGCACCATCTTTGTTAGTTGTTGGATTTTATCTTCGAGATCATTATGTCCAGTGGTCATATTAATTCTTTTATCGCCCTTTGATGGGCACCGAAGAGGTAAAACGTGAATGCTGTTTCGAGTGCGAACGAAAGCGGTGTGCGAGAATAGTTTGGTCGCGCCTCTCAACATACTCATATTGATGAGATGAACATTGATCGACTTAGGAAGAACGATGTCATCTACTAAATGTACGTGATCCGACAGTTCGCTAAGGTAATTCTCAATTTCGGCGCGTGAAAGGATGTATTGCGTCTTGTAATTTATTGAATGTGTCATTGTTTGATTCTGTTCAAATTGTTGTGCTTGGTTTTCATTTTTGTTGCTACGGTCATCATCATCATCATCATCATCATCGCTATCCATTTCGAACAGTTCAGGAACGCTCGAACTTTCTCCACTTTCGGCAACACCTTGGCGAGATTCCATTGACGATTTTCTGTGCGCATGAATAACAAGTCGCTTGTTAAGTTCTTCAATTCGATCAATATCTTGCTGTGCCAGGCTGAATTTGTGAATACTCTTAGCTGCTCGGCTGTCGTAGAGAAAATCGTTGCTATTAGTAGCATTCGTATAAATCATCGTATTGATTGCTTTGGCCAAACGATCTGGTCGGCTTTGATTAAGCATCCAATAGAGTGAGTTCCACAGTTGATTGTTCACTTTTTCAAGATAACTCTGAACAAATGTAAAATATTCCCTAATGTCCTGTGAAACCATCTGTCTATTCTCTTTCTCGTAAAGAAGAATCATGCAAACATAAATTATCTGACTGCTTGTGTGTCCGCAGATCAAAAAAACATTTCTAGAGGTATTTCCGTGCGGGGACTCCAAGTTTGTGCCTCATCTGCTCAGACCACTGAAGAGAGAATGTGAATTGAAAGAAATGGCGTGAACTGATAGAAACCGAGTTTTCAGGTTAATCTATTTTTATAGGTGTCCGAATGTTCTCCTTCTTGTAATGAAGAGTGTGGCAACCATGAACTGTAAGCTTTCTTCCGTATATGATTACTCGCACTTTACTTAGTGGTGAAAGGATAGCTCGAGAAGAAACTAGTGCCTACCGCTCATATGCTTTCGTCTGTAGATACTATACTGAATAGACTGCGAATATGTGCGGCGCGTAATGATTAATAAAGAAGAGCAAGGTTTTTAATTGTTTTTTGCAATAAACGTGAAGAGGACGCATTTCTACGAGAAAGAGCTAAGCGAGTCCTGGGACGAGCATTACTTGTAATAGTATTCCTGAACGTAATATTTAATCAACGTATTCGACCTTATCTTAAGGACACTCTCGTCGTATATTCTAAGAACCCCGATGAAATATAGAGTTTTGACAAGTCTTCGTCTGAAGACATTCAGACAAGTCGAAAACCATATCCTTTTTAAGATTTTCATAAGTAAAACATCAACTTCGAAAAAATGTATGATTTGCTAACCTGTCTCACTTGCAAGTGTTGTCTGAGTTGACGATTAAGAGCACTCGAATTGTACAATGAACTGTTGGGAGTTTCTTGTACATGGATTTTAATTGTAACTTTGTCGATAACTTCGCTGATTAATTGTTTGAAATCACTACTCATAAGAGCGATTGTCTTGGAATTGGGGAATTGTGATCGAATTTGATTGAACATCGGTGTAGTAGTGATCTGGTCAGCAGTAATATCCACATGTCGTTCAGTTATCTTCTCCAAATTAGGCATGTACTGTATTTCAATATTAGCGAAATGACATCGTTCGGTGATCAATGAGCGAAGCTTTTCACAGACGCTGTTATTCGTCGTGTGTATAAAGTATTCCATTGACTGTTGAAAAAGAGTGTTTGAATGCCATTCATCGTTAATGGTGTACATTTGTCGAGACTTATTTGTTCGAACACCCTTTTCAGCGATGCGAATAGCATTCATTGGCACTAGAGAGACATCACATGTTCTGTTTTCGCCGCACTGTGTTGAAAAGTGTTGTGTCAAATAGGCATGAATCACTTTCATCAACTGTGGAGTATAGAGCTCGATGGAGAGACTCAATCCGACAAGATCGCTTAGTTCATTCTCGTAACATTCAGTGTTCGACGAATTAACACGAGGAAATGGAGTGAAAAAGACATCCGTTGATTTTGCCTGACTTTGAAATAAGAGTACTTCACCGTCTTCATATTTCACTCGACCCATGTTCGTCGCACGTACTTCACCTCCGCACATATCGCTGCAGTGTTCTGGAAGCTTCGATTTGGGCTCTTGAGACCAAACGAGCATTAATACGCCAAAATATATCAAAGTAGAAAACATTTAATCTAAACTAAGAGAAGGCTTATCAACATAACGTATAAAAGATGTTTGTATGTGTCAGATTGGAAGATAAGTTCTGTTCGATTTCTTACTTTATGAGCAAATGTAACGCTTGTTATTTTCTAACAAGAAAGTAATCAGGATCCGAAAGTTTCAGTTCATGTAGAACTTATACAGATTTACTTACACTACGAATTTCATCTTCTTATCGCTTTGATTCATCCAAATAATGTCGAAAGCCAGAAATGTTGAAAACAGTAGAATTTGGAAGTACAAACCTCTCTCATTTCCATTCCTGCATTCTCATCGCATGATTATCCGCAGAGACGCGAACCATAGTGAGCGCCCAAGAAAGACATTCAGAATAAACTAATCATTTTCGAGCAATTTCACCTGATTTTTCAAAAGGTGGAAGAAAATCTGTGGCTAAGTGTTACCGAATCCAAAGTAAACTCTACTGAATTCGAACATGTCAATCTTTAGACACATCTGTTCATTATTAATCCGTTACAGAGAATAAATAATCATAGGTACAGAAAAAGAAAGACTTATAGATGAGGATTAAACTTCAGTTATGTGCTTTTTTGAATCTTGAGAAGTTTCTTGTTTATGACGTTGGTAGTCGTAATCCCATGTCTAATTGAGTAAATACTTCACTTATTTAGTGTTTAATCACGTCTCGACACACTAATTTGCTAATATTCCAGAAAAAGTCGAACATCTCTTGACAAGAACTTTTTCAGATTCTAAGGAGTCATTTTTAGTATTTATTTGTAATCAGTGTAAAATCTAATTAGGTCATCGAATGATGTCAAAACGAACGATTCACTCATACGTTACTATGCACTTCTGAAGTTACACTTAAATGACAAAACAGTGTACACATTTTCTTCTTAAGGTAGTAATAACACCATCTCGAGGGTATGAGTGTGGGTTTGTTCTCTCTGCCAACTAACATTTTCACTCGCACCCACCGGAAGATTAAGTGTATCCTTTTTATTATCTCGATTTAATATAACAGAAAAAATGTGATTGATTAAGACGGCCAAAAGGATATAATTGAAAAAACAATGTAACATTTAACAACTTCTTACTTTGTTGACGGTGTTGTCATAAAATAAATTTTGTTGGATTTACAAATGTGAAAATGTTGCTCTTTATATATATGTTAGATTAGTCTGATGATTTTTCCAACAAAACTTTGATCATTTGATATTAATTTCGAATAGGGAAGTGATAGCGTTTTCATTTCATTGATCTTATCAAAAATAACAAAAAGGAATTAGCAATATGAGAAGTGTGATCTTTACGTGATTCGTATACTTTATGAAAAAACAAATTTACTTCCATTCTAATCTATTCCTTTCTCTTTCTTTACACGCTTGTTTCATTTTTCACTTCCACTTTATTGTTTCGAGTGTTTACAAAGACAAATAGCACAATCATCGTATCTCTATCTTTCAAAAAACGATAAATCACATAATTCTACAATCATTGATCATTCGATATTTTATTATTTTGGTCGTCTCATTCACAGCGACAAGTCTTCGCACATCTTCAAGAATTTATAAGCTTGAAATTAATTGAAAGTATCGAATTAGATAAAATATGGTCGTAACAACATTTTCGTAATCTGAAAGTAAATTTGGATTGCCTTTGATTAGCTCACAATATGTAATATGAAATCAGAAAAAGATTCCATTTAATGAGCTTGTGTTTTTCGAACGATTGTCCATTTCATCGATGTTTTACATAAATTCAATAAGAACTGCGGATCATCTCTTCGTATAATATTTCACAAAAAAAATCTAAAAAGAATATTTTAGAAAACATATGTTTGAATCTTGAGGGTGTCGGTGTGGGCATGAGTTTGTTCTCGATGTACCCATACCCAGTCTCTTACACTTTTGAATGTGCTCAACTCGAATGGTCTTACTTTTTTATGACACTCCAATCAAAGCGACATGTCTATGTGAAACTAATTATTTTGTTAAATATACTAATTTTTCACTAATAACGATTAGAATGTCAAAAGAGAGCGACATCAAATATTTCCCCTTCCAATTATCTCTACTCTCGAATCAAACTTATGAAGGACGACTGTTAGACAATAATTAGAAGACTGTCTGCCTAAGGAATGATTCAAAGAAATAGCTCTGTATTTTGAGAAAAGTTTGGGAATATTTTTGATAGACTGAATCTGCTTAAATCATATACCTTTTATCAAAAAATTGGTAGAATAGAGTAAAGTTGTTCTTTGCCTTTCTTGAGGATGTGTGTACCTTCTTCCCTCATTCACATCCTCACCCACACCCACTCACATCCAAAAGGAAGTGAAAATAACTCGTACGAGTGAGAGAAATTTGATCATCGATAAAAAACAATGAATTTGTTCTTCATCGATTGAATTACTAAGAGAACGGAAGTGCCGATACGTCGTTATTCCTTATCTTTTGTCAGAGAAACTCGGATAATGTTTCGCACTTCCTACACGAGCGTAGTATTTAAATCATGCCGATAAACATCATCAACAATAAGAAACATGAAAGGTGTAATATTCTTCTTTGTTCTTACTGCTACGTTCGGCAGTGTTCGCAGTCAACAGGCATGTATGAATGGTAATTGGGCGCAATGTGCTGCGGAAGCCGTAACACAATTCCGTCAACTTTATTCATCGTACAATACTTGGCACGATAACGAGCAAGTACCAATGTTCGGCACAACATGCTATTCAGCGAGCAAAGCAGGTTTCTATCGTTGGAATTGGCGTTGGCAAGGACGATTCTGGTGTCCCACTCTATCAGGCCTTGAAGGATATTCGAACAATTGGGAGAGCCAAAAAGGTGCCATTGAGCATGCGGTTGAGGATTACGTACGAAAAGGCGCACAACATGGCTTTCTGCCGCCTAAGCGATTGTTGGATCCGCTTGATGGTCCAGGACACCGTGGTGAGTTATCATCTTGTTTTATCAATTTTCAAAAGTGACAAACTATGAAAGAAGTTCTTCCTCCACATGCAGTTTCCACTTCATGCCTTGTTTGTCCATCGATAGATCGTGGTAGAGGCAGACGTTAGCAGTGATTATAGGCTTATTTGAAGAAAGCTGATGTAGACGACACGAGGAAAAAACGCTGATCAATATAATGAAACCGTAGTATATGTATATCTATTAAGATATGTATAGGTAGGATCATGCCACACACGTTGAACAACCATATGCAGTTACCAACGGTCATGTTGTGTGAGCATGCACAATAGGAATTTTCTGCGAAGAAAGTCATATCATACTTGGAATCAGACAAGAACCGAATGATTGAGGGTATCTTGCTAGTACTAGAAAAGGTCGTAGAGGGTAAACACGTCGTGGATCTCCTTTTATTTAGTTATGGTTATTTTATTGGATTGTCAATACTTGTGAACAGTGTCAAGAGAGACATCTATTGATTGAATTTCGATCGGAAATTCCACTCGTATATAGCTATAACAATTCTTCGAAAATTCTGAAATTGTCAGTGAATTAGATGATTCCCTCTCTAGTGGAACCTTTAGAAAAGCTGAATAGATTCGACGCCTGTCTATAAAATATGAGCATTATTTGAAAAATCAATATTTCAAGAAGGAAGTGTTCTTTTTTACTGTAGTTTTCAAAGTTTTTTTTGAGAACTACTACACCTACAAGTAGATATTGAAAGTCAAACTCCAACTGTTGAATGTTTTTGTCAATATTTCACTTCAATGCTCAGAACACTGATTATATTCTAGTTTCTCATTCTTATCAAAATCTGTTAATAGATAAAAAAAAGTTAGATCAATCGACGCTGAATAATTAGTTCACGGACTTCATTCGTCCTCATAGGTATAGTATTCTCAAACGTTTTCTACTATCATATTGTGCACATCTTGTGCAACCCTTTCGGTTTTGTTAGATACATTAGAAGTTTCCGTCAACTTGTGTATTTTTATATACCAATTTTTCTAGGACACACTGACGTAAGTCTTTTCCTTTGAATATATGAGTTGTGCTCTCTTGAAAATTAGGTAAAATATACAAATCATCCATGGTGGCGTGTCTTCATTGAAAAGTCTTCAATGAAAAGCAAGTAATTCAATAAAGGAAAGTTGCATATGTTCAGCATAGATAAAAAAAAACGAAAAATAAACGAATATACCAATCTGAGAAAATACCCGAATGATGCAGAAATCACTCCATTAGATACTACTAGTATATGAGATAAAATTTTAGAGTTTTTCGGAGTTCAAATCGGGTTGTTCTTTCACAATCGGAATTGGACTTTAAAAAAGTTTCGAAATCGGAAATAGAAAATTTTCGAAGTAAAAATCGGTCTCAAGATGAAAAAATTCGGCTTCGCTGAGCCCTACTTTTCACCCTATTAGTTTAACTTTGCAGTTATTTTCTTTTCGTTTTGCTTCTCTTCTTATGAAGAGCATTATACATTCCACAATCAAAAAATTAAATTATTGTACATCCCCTATTAAAATATCCGATAGTCACCATATGTTACTCATTTTAATACACTGACGTTCATTTCGTAAACAAAATACTATATTTCCATTTTCAGAGCTCTCTGCAGAACCCGTTCAAAAGATTACAAGATTTCGAAATGCTGAGACTGGCTACAGACTAGATTCCAATGGCTACGGGGAGGCATATGTGCTTGAAAGCAATGGTGGTGACTATCAAGTCTGGCATATAATAAATGCTGATGATAATAGTGTTTATATAAGGAATAAGAAAACCGATTTATTTTTAGACAGTAATTGGGAAGGGAAGGTTTACACATTACCTGCAAATAAAGGTGCATATCAAAGATGGAGATTCGATGGCCTTCGTATTATTAATATTGCAACTGGTCGAGCTTTAGATTCAAGTTACAATAAAAAACTTTATACGTTAAATCCAAACGGAGGCAATTACCAGAACTGGATTCAGGAATAGATAAAACAAACTCTTTATTATACTAGAAAGAAAAAGCTGTAATTTGAGATTAGCGGAAGTCATATCTTTGATTAAAAAACTAATTTATAATTTTTTTTTGTGGGATGTGGGTGGGTGTGGGGTGGGTATTTATTTGCTCGGTCACTAACACCCACCCACACCCTCACCCACTCCCGCCCTTGAATCTAGAAGATATTTTTGTATGACGAGATGAACAAAGTGTTTAAGCAGCAAAATAAAATTTAATCACACTTCCATACAACTTAAAAGCTCAATTAATTACTACAAAACTTGTGCGAACACATTCATCCATTTCTAAGACGGGAATTCCAATAGTAGCTTTATCATTATTAAAAATAAATGGCACGAAAAAACAAATAATCTAGTAATTATATATTAGGTTATCTGTTTTTAATACGATCTTCTACATTAACACGGAAATTTAAGCTGATGATTCTAGTTTAAAATGATGAAAAATTTCTGGAAAGTCATTAGTCATGATGATTATCAGTAAGTTTGATCCGTTTGTTACCCACGTTTTGTTTATTTGATGGTACGCTGATCTTTTTACGACATACGTACACAGAAGAAGGCTCTATCTGGTATGATAGATTTTTGCTTTCAAACCATTGATGAAAATCATCGCAACATGGAGTATGATCGAAGTAGAAACGAGCAGTGGACATATGCGTAAGTCGTTCAAGAACAACTTTGGCTTCGCTCATATCCTTAATTGTCACTATCAAGCGTCGAATATGAGCTGGTATTATACAACAAATATCGTTTGCTGTTAAGAGTGATTTCTGATTTAATAATGTATCACGTAGCAAAACCGAATTAACATGACATGCTTGTTGAAATAAACTTTTGATATCAGCAAGTATGGATTGATTAGCCGCAGAAATTAGTCGTCCTCCCAATGCAATTTTTGTGATTGTTGTCAAATCGATAAACAACGAAATAAATGGAATCCAGTCAACAGGTCGTTCCGAACCGAATATAAGTACAAGATAGTTCTTCATACGCAGTAAAGGATAAGGTTTTGGTTCTCGCTAAAAGTAAAAAAAATAAAATCAAACTAATTCACTGTTGACTATTGATTGATCTTGATATTTTTACCTGTTGTTCAATGTCACTCGATGCCAATTTTGTAAAATTGAAACCGATATAGTCGGTATTGACTACTATAGGTGCGTCCATGTCAATTGCTGTACTCAGAGTTGATAGAGAAATATTTATCGGTTCGACTTTTGAATTGACTTTAGCCATACAATTAGGTATTGAATAGAGTTTGATCCATTCTGGTATATTGATATTGTACTCACAAATGACAAACCATTTTTTTAATTCGATCCAAAACGGAGTTTCAAATGATCGAATAATCTGTTCAATATCAGGATAATTCAATTGATCATCTTGATAATCACTGAAATAAAATTGAAATTTCTTCAATCCAAGTAGATTTGTTTGAATAAATTTTTCCCAACGATGACCATCAAAGTAGTTTCCATTGCCAGTAAGTTTCAAATCAGTTAATGATGTCATAGACTGAAGTAGAAATTCAAGATCAGCAATATTCATATCCAATTTTTCTAATGATACTGAAGTTAATTGACGACAGTAAGCTGTCAAATTCGTTGGATGAATAGTTTTTATTGAATAACAATCGATAATAAGTGTTCTCAAACGAGGCAGATGACGAAGAATTCGCCTAATGGAATCGAAACTTATACACTTGTCAATTTTTAGTTCTTCAATCGTACATGGATCAGGCCATTCGATAGCTTCTATACGATTTGGTTCAATGTTAAGTGCGAGTTTGTGAAGACTAGTTCGTGTGAGTATTGATGTAAGAACAGTCGCTGTTACATGATCGTGTTGCTTTTTATGTTCCCCGATTTCAAGTGAAAATGAAACAAGTGACGATATGTTAATATGCTTTAAAACTGCTCTCAATCGACTTTCTTTAATTCCAATCAATGTTAGAGAATGAAGTCGGCTAAAATCTTTCACATGAAATTGTTTATCGAAGAATATAGTTTGATCGAATGTTGTAGTTTGTTGAGAGAGTGTTAATGATTTAACTCGTTGAGGATTAATTAAATGACAAATAAGTCGAAAGTCTGATTGTGAAGTGTTTGTAAAATCAAGAATGTAATTATCATAGTTGTTTATAATGTTTCGTAATCGACGACATATATTGCGAAATGATACTAGTATTGTTTTTGCATCAAGACAATCGCAAATATAATAGACAATTTCTACAGGTAATGTTGGAAGTGATGATTGTTGATTCATCGACATAGTTTTCAAAAATTATGCTTATAAAAACTATTTCTTCGTTTACTTTTATACTTAAGTGAAAAATAAATGCGTATCGTGTTGGCTTTTTCTTTCGTGCAAGCTAGTAATAAGGTGAAGAACGGAAGAAGCAGAAAAGAATGAAAATATTGTTATTCATCCTATGGTATTTTATGATAGAAAATAACAATTGTAATGCAAAATGATGCAGCCACATTCTATGTCAAATTCACACGTATATACGTCCATACTCTCAAAGTCATATGCTCTAAGATTTTACTTGTTATAAGAAAATAGAACGAAATAATACTTTGCCTTCAAAATTAGATTAGTCTAACACAACATGACATTATCAGATTGTTTTAATCGAGATACACGGTATTCAGTACAACAATGAATTTTCTAATTAAAGTCGATGTATCGTGAACCGATCAACATAAACTATTAAAAGGGTGGGTGAGTGTTCTCCTTATCCACATCCACACCCCCGCTAACTTTTATTTTGGATAGAGAAAACTAGTACCCATCTCTATGGAACATAGTAGATGAAAACAGTCTGCTGGCTTCCTCTCGCTCATCATTGAATTTCATGAAATAATTGTCCAATACAGCATACTCTTCACTCTTCTTCGTTCTGTCGATCAATCTGAGCAGATGGCGACTAATACCCCTCATTTCACTGCCGCCCCCGCTCTTATGATGAAAGACGTCGTTAACTCGATCAAAAGGATAAACTTTTTCGAACAGTCGAAACGATTTCTTGTAGTGTTCCAGTGCAAAGTCAAATTGTTTCATTGCTTCGTAAATTTTTCCCATAAGTCGATAGAGTCGAGCAGTTTTTACAGAGTCTTTCTCTTGCGGCAGTACTCTTGAGGGTGTGGGTGTGGGTGTGGACTGAAGGAGAATAAACATCCACACTCACACCCACACCCACACCCGTGTTGACATTAATACACATAAACTCGTTTAAGCTTCGTTTGCTTTCAGAATAAAAGACTAATAAAAAATGAATGATGCCTATTTGTACTATTGACGTGTTTTTTGATCGCATACAATGTAGAAAAAAAACATAGAGAATAAAACAATACTAAAAACTAACTATTGACACATCATTCAGAGAGAAAGATTTATGAAAACAGTTGTCAAATTTTATTGCATGACATAGACAAGTTACCAGTTCCTCTTTCAAGGTGAGTAAATATGTGCCAATATTGGTGAAAAGAAAGATGGAGAATGGTAATGCAAAAAATCTCTCATAAGACACTGTAGAAGTGTATCGAGAGTGCCAGAAAAATTTCAAGCTTTCAAACAACCCTGAAAACGATCACAATAGTTATCACCACCTTACTTCTGTTGGTAATTAACCAGTTTGAAAAGTATAAAAACAAGGTTCGATATTTCTCACAGAAACGATTGACTCGTATAAGGGCATAGTTAGAGGGTAATGATATAGAATTGAAGTTGCCACTTTGTTTTTTAGACTCAATTGTATGTCTTTTATCTCTAAGTATTTTCTCCCATATCTGACATTTTAAACAGAAAACAACTTTAGTTTTATCATCTGAATGTTCACGTTAAGTGAGCTATAACCGAACATTGTAGAGAGCCATTTTTTTCATTAGAAAACGGTGAAAAATACTTTCAATTAGCAGAGATCCGTGCAAATTACACGACAGTTTTCATCAGTAAGAGTGTTTTTCATAAAAGGAAAGGCAATTATCAGAGATGGGCTTAAAACTACACCACCCACTCTCATCGTATATCACGCATTCCCAACCATTTTCACTCGCTCTTACCATATTCCAATGATTTTCACCCACCCGTACGCTACTTCACCCACGTTCGCCCTATTTCCACCCAACCATCGTGAGGGTGTCGGGTGTGGATGATACTCTTCTCTTCATCTTCACACCCACCCACACCCACACCCGCACCCACACCCTAAGAAGATTTATTAGAAAATTTTGTTTCTAACATAATACACTTACTAGATGTCTTCTGAATGTTTAAATGGTGGTCTACTCATATTAAGTAATTCTTCGAATATAAGTTACTGTCAGTGCAATCCATGTTTCGAGGGTATCAACTGTACAGATCCAATTCCAAACCAACGGCGGATTCAATTTGACACGGTTTATGTTTATCTAATTATCTTTTTAATGAAGTTATGTCTATCACTTGTGAATAATCTACTTAGTCTTGAAGTCTTTCTAGGTTGTAAACATGTACGTCGTACCAACATTGGTGTCTATCTCATTCTTTACTCATTTATATCTATGATCGGAAGTGTATTGCTTGTAGTTAATCAATCTGTGCAGTATTTCAAACCATATCCCTTCAGAGATAATCACAAACTGTCTGAAACATTTGATTGTTTTCTAAAAAAGAGTGGAGATCAAGTGGTCGCGTTAGTGTGTCTTTCTATGGGTGCCCTCGTTGCATTTGAACGTGTTCTTGTCACTTGTTTTAATTTTAAAATGAATGCGACACGGAGGCGATCAGTCATTACATTATTTCTTACTTTTTCTTTGACTACTATAACTACCGTACCAATGCTGATCTACCGATGTGAATGTAATGATGCACATCAAACAACAAAGTCACGTGGATCAACACGATGGTTTTATACGGCTGGGATTCTTGCAGGTCTCATCTACGTAGTAGCAACTTTACTCGTTCTGATTTATTTTGCCCTACATATATATCACTATGGTACTGCTCAGGAATCAAGAAAAAAAATATTTTTCAAACTACTAAGAAAACATTTGTTCATATTCGTCCCACCAGTTGTGTATATTCTCTGTATCGCTCCATATCAAACATGGTATCCAATAAGACCTTTCGGACGGGGATATTGGTACTGTGGAATTTCTACTGTAGAATACATTTTTAAAATCATCATACAAGCATTGACATTTATGCCGATGGATCTTACTTGGCTAATTTTTGTGTATCCATCAAATGTTTATATGACTGAATTCTATACGAACACCTGGTCAGGAAGACGCGTAAGGAAAATATTAAATTTCGGATGTTTCTGTAAAAACCACTTGATGAAAGGAGTAAATGGACGAAGAAATAGAATATCACCCGTGAACTCCAGAGATAGTTATTATTTGTCAAGCTAGAAAAAGTGATTCTTTCTCAAAATATTTTTTTTATAGAAAATAATCTAACGATCGCGGATGAACATGAGAGGGAAAGATCCGTGTGCATTAAAGATACATGAAATAGCTTTTATCATACCTTCAATATTTTTAGCAGTTCTGTAAAAATCGTATTTTTTGAGCTGACAGCACCTATTTATTTCATTTACGACATGCTTTTAAAGTTTTGCACAATTGATGAAAAATCTTTCTATTTCTCTTCGGTTATTTGAATGCTCAAAATTAAGAATCCAAACGTGTACATACGAAAACTATTCCAAAACAAATATTACTTTAGCTTTCATCAATGAAGAAACGACGAAAGAACTACGGGTCAATTCCTATTCTTTCAACTACAATGTAATCCTCATCAGAAAGTCACTTACTAGAAAAGATTTCGTCAGACGAAATCGTTATTATTATCATCCTTTATTCAGTTATCAAGCTAGAGATTTCATTTGTTTAAATATACGTTGTGAATGTAATCTCGAAGAAAAGAACAAGAATTCATTCATATGTCTCAATGAACTTCAATTAGATGATTAATAATCTCAAAAACCGATTCGATTTTTTAAAGACAAACGAGAAAATTTTTTTTGTTCAAATTGACCAATGAAAATTCATTAAAAATATTTTAGATGATTGTAGCGAACAAACATTTTTGACAGCGACTCAATATTTATGTAATAACGTATTTGCTCAACTTATTATCATGATTTAGATATACTTTACCATATGCTTTTCTGTCAAAGTTATATGACAGGTTTATTGAAATTATAATTTCTAATTTAGATAAACTTTCTCTCTTGCTTACCTGTCACGTCAACTTGACAATCTTTTCTAAATTATATTAGATGCAAAAGAAATATTATGACATTTGGTATTCTACGCATATCATACTGCATGTAAATTATAGTCTTAGTACTTTTTAACAGAAGCGTCGTGAAACCTGTACAAATCTGTATGGGCTTGTTCAGATAATGTTTCCTATACCTAAACTGACCGAATCATATGGCGATGATATGCTCGACCATATTTTTCCATATAGTTTTTGTAGAATTTTTCCCAGTGCATTTTTTAACAACCTCCCGATTATATAATTTATCCATGCTCTGATATTTGCAAAGTGCCAACTGTTGTAATATTTATGTCGCATCCAATAGGATGTAACGAGATATAATATTTTCCACTGCTTTTTGAATATCTCGAGAATACAGGCAGTTAGAAACATGTGATTTTCATCAATCGAAAGAGAAAACAAGGGAACTTCTTTTTCTGCAATATTATCTGAGTCGAAGTCATTCTCATAGAAAATCGAAAAATATTCAGAAACGGTCTATTATTTCAATGAAACGTTGGTTTTGACACATGGTCCACGTATTCTAGTGTTGCAAAAATCAAATCGTCTATTTACCCACACAAAACTGTGCAGATTTCTTTCAAGTTTTAAGCAAATTTGTTTACTTATTGCCAAAACCATCTTGATGGTGTGGGTGCGAGTAACAGTGTTATGATTATCTTCTACCTACACCCTTCTTATATATTTATATTACCGCTTGCATAATAGAAAATGTTTGATAGAAAAGAAAAAAATATTCTTGTGGAGAAGTGTTGTGAAGAAAGAACTTTTCTGTTTTCTCTTGTATAGAGCAGGAGCGATCGTTGACATTATGGCGAGCAACACTGTCAACAGAGATATTTTTCTTTCTTTCTCGCACCAGAAAAACTGTTGTGACTATTTTATCATTTTCATTTTCTTACCTTTATCATACAAAAACGAAAAAGAATTGTTAATTTTTATGATAGTGGATTATTAAAACAGCATGCCCTTTCGATGTATGTCCATCTTGAAGGTGTGGGTGTGGGCGAAGAGAAGATTATCATCCACACCCACACCCTCAAACTAATTTATTCTATAATAATCAGCAAACAAAGGGTGTGCGTGGGAGTGTGTGCGTAAAAGGTGAGTGCGGGTGTGGGTGTCAATGATATAGAAGACGGTGCACCCACACCCTCAAGGCGTGGATGTGGGTGAGGGTGAGGATGTGGTTGATACTGCTTGCTTCTCTTTACTCTCGACCGTGTCTATGTCTTTACATTCTTATTTGTACGAGAAAAATGATGCAAGATTTTTTCATCAGAACGACGAAGTGTGATTCATGTATTTGACTTTACTCTGAGTAAATGTTGTTCTATTAAAAGCTAGTCGATGACTAAGTTTGATCAAAAACCGACTAATCACAAAGTTGACTTGTCAGAAAATCACACTTCTTTATTAAGTGCAATGAAAATATATTCGTGGCACAATAATTACCTGCCAACCATCGAACAGAATTCTAATTGTTTGTCGTTCTATTCTTGATCGCATGAATATTCTATTGGTAGTTGAATATAACCATTCGAATTATGCTATACAGTGTGAATCATACATTTAATTATTTCATCATTTTTCTTATTCCGCAAATGAAAATATGTAGAGAATCGATAGCAACTCACATTACTATACTCTCATTACATCTTGCACATGAATGTGTTCTATAACGGGGGAATAGTATTGCTCAATAGGCTTAAAAGACACAGACATAGTCGAGAGTAAGAACGATAATCATTCGGCATCGCTTCTCGTCTTTACAGGCTTAGATCGAAGTGTAGTATCTGATCTCGTCGGTTGGAAAGCTGGTGCCAGTTTTACGAGACTGGACTGTTTCAAACGGATTTTTGGGCATGTGCTGCAAGATCGTAGAGTTCACCCACATCTATATTCACACCCTCAGGATAGTTATTTTCCAGGCAAGAAAAATCTTTAAATGCTGATGCAGTGAGAAAAGATATTATCTGACTGAATCTCGATTAGGGAAGTTAAAGTTCTTTAGTATAATTCTAGTGAATTGTAAATGACATTAGTTGTCGATTTGTAAAATGATTTATTATTATTGAACTTTCTAGTTTAATTTGTGAGAAATTGTAAAAATATTCTTAGATTTTTGGTATTATTTTCTAAGACAAATAAAAACGGAATATATTGTTTTTCTTATTCATGGATTAGAAGTGAATCATTAATGATTCTTGCCGTTTGTTTCTCTTTCACCGAAAGACAGAGCAACGAATAGCAACGTATAAGTAAAGAGAAGAATTGTTATTGTTTTTTATTTTATTTAGATAATACACAAAGACAAAATGTTAGACACAAATGATATATGTTTTGAAGAAGGTGGTATCGATACAGATCGTATTGTTACGGATAAACTTCGCGTAGCAGATGAGCTTTTCTGTTTAATTTGCAAAAATCTTCTTTGGAAAGCAAGATCATGTGCTTCTTGTCAACACTTATTTTGTAACAAATGTATTCGAACGTGGCTTACCATCAATTCAACTTCATGTCCGCTTCGTTGTTCTCCTTATGAAGAAAAACGTGTTCCACCATCTATTTGTTCTCTTTTAAGTCGTTTGACCATTCGATGTCGTAATAGTTCATTAGGTTGTACAAAAGTCTTATCGTATGACTTATTAGAAAAACATGAAACTGACGAATGTCAATTTCGAACGAAGCAATGTTTTATCTGTGGAAAATATATTAAAATAAACGAATTTGATCGACATCAAAAATCTTGTAAATTAACTACTCTTACATGTCATGTATGTAAATGTCTTGTAAATCGAGAATCATTGGAAGAGCATGCAAAGAAATGTATTTTGGGAAGATTACATGTCTTGCTTGATCAAAAGGTATCATCATGGGATATTCCTAAACGTCCAGGTACTGTGCCAGTACAGCAAGAAAATAAAAATATGTTCACTGGATTAAATAATCGAGTACGACGATTCGTGCTTAGTCAACGAAAAATTCGTCTTGCTGGATTCAATGTGGCTAAACGAGCTCGTCACAAAAATTATTGGATTCGAATTTGGACTATGTTTCAATTGATTCTATTGAATAAATCACGCGCTAGTCAAATCATCTGTTGCCTTCTCTTTTTTGCTATTGGGACTATTATACCATATCCCATTATTTTTTTTTCACTCCTACGCAATCAAATTGAAATGTTTTTTTATCGATCATTAATTTTTATGATTTTATTTGTTGGATTATTTAGTTTCGCTTTTACGATTCTACTTACATATGTTAATGATATATGGATAATTATGTTTATTTTCTTTGCTTTATTATTAGTAGGTTCAATTCGTCAAGAAATGCCAATAGAATACTTCCAAGTCAATCAAAGTCGTTTATTGATGTTAGCAACCAATTTAGTCCTTCTTTGTGTTCTTAAACTTTCTTTATTATTAATACGTTTCTACTTTTTTTACATACCTACTTATATATCGACGAGTTGTTTAGCATCAACAATTATATTCTTAACATTTTATATGCGTTATTTTAGTAATCATCTAGAATGAATCTAGTTTATGATCGTCGCATTGATATATTCAAGAGATATTTCATTTTTTTTCTTTTTTATCTATTTGTGATTAACATGTGATTTTTAAGTAAAATAAATCGGAGTTCACTGACCGGATTGAATCTTTTTTTAAAGTGTCACAGTATCTTTATCTTAAGAGTGGCAGTGAGAGTGTAATATCACCGTATCTATGTGTATCTGTCCGTTCAATCAATCAGACTTCAGGACAAAGAACAGCAGACAAGAACTAAAAGCATATTTCCATTGATAGTTCTCGGAGTTAGGGTACAGATGAAGGTGTGGGTGTATGTGTGAGCATGGGCTTGGGTGTGTGCGTGTGGAAGTTGGTATGAGCCTTGTTCTTGTCTAACATCCACACCTCACATTCACATTCACACTCACACCCACATCCACATCCACACCCACCCATCCTATTCCGTTTGATTGAATATTGTGCAAACGATTCTGGAGTAGAACTGATTCTCAAATATTCAGGCATCGCAAAATAGGATGTTTGTTCATTTACGAATAACAAAAGTAACTTCATTCTAAGTTTTTCCTAATTCTTGTTTTTATAACTCACATTTTCATAAAAAAATCTTATCTTTTTGCACGTTATTACAAATTTCTGATTTTTCCAACATTATTTATCATGACAAAAACAAAACGCACTTTGTATTTTATATGATACTTCTCTTAATTGCCTTTTTTTGCTTTAAAAGACAATAAAAGAGTATAGCAATATATAAACTTCTGTCCTTATCAAACAAAAACCTTTTTTCTGTCTAATAAAAAAAGATAAAAGCGACATGTGCAACACCGACAATTTGATTTTTGAATAGAGGACAAATAGAAAAAAAATGTATCATTTGAGGATGTGAATGTGAGGATGAATACTATCTTTCACTTATATTCAGACGCACACCCACAGATCTAGCCTCAACATAAAGATCATGAATAATTGTATAAACACTATTATGGGTGTACCAAAGGTAGCTTTTCGTGAACTATACTGGATACTAAGGACAACCTTTCAGAAGCTAATTAGAGACACTAATAGTACGTTTTTTAGATGGATCATGGATATCAGTAGTATCTTTTCTGGTCCGATTTGCCACTGGTGCTTTTAGGTTGTTCACATTGTCCTTGGAAGTACCTATTAGGTTATCAAGAATGAATAAATACGGTACATTTAGCTTTTCAGATTCAAATACGTATGTTACGCTCAAGTATTCAGTAGACAGCTCGCAATGGTAAAATCAAGTTTGACTTCGACTGGTTGCTAGATCATATTATTTTATGAGAACTGATACTTTTCGATTACAAAATGTGTGCTAGGTTTTCTGACGTTATTGCGGATCCATGGGAAATTGCAGCATTGAAAAGATCTCATAGGAAACACGGTGTGGGGGAGGGGTGTGGGTGAAGAGAAGAGTATCACTTCTATCTACACTCACCCCCTCAAGAACAAATCGAATGAAAAAATAATTGCAACTTCTTCAAAATCAATTTCTTATTCAATAAAAAATTCTCCATTCTTGTTTTTATTTATTATTCTCATTTTTGTGTACTCAAAAAGTGAGTACACTACTAGAATCGATCTGTATTTCGCTAATGATAATACTGTCTATAAAATCTATTTTTTGTATTTCTATAATGCGAACATAGTTCATTATCGATTTTTGTTTTATTGAAACGTTTTTGCTTATAAAAGAATAAAGAAGCAGCTGCACTCGCGTCAATCTTCACGACCCAGATAAAGTTTTTCAGGATTAAACTTCTATCGATCAAAACTATTCTGATAGTTTCTAACGATCAAATTTTCCAAAATCATTAATAGTCTTTTTTTGAAGGCAATTTAGAGATATTCTATATTTATTCTTCTATGATCATATCAGAAACAATACTTGCAGAAGAAATAGATACATGTGAACATGATTGATTATATTATAGTACATTTTTTTCTCTCATTTTTTTTCATATAGGTACCAATTTGAACTTGATCGATGCATTTTTGTTGTTGATAAATAGCTCGAATTTCCGGTAACGATAAGCATCGTTTGAAAGCAACAAGATCGGCAATGCCCGCTTTGACTGGTGATTGTATCGAGTAGTCGTTCCGCTTGCAAGTGAGCATAAGTGCATTCGTCGTGCTTCTTGTCTTGATATGTTTATTGAATGTTCGATGGAGAGTGAACGTATTCAGATCATGTCCATTCAACCATATGCAATGCCCAGTTTGTGATTCACTGTTGGCTATAACAATATGTATCCATTGATCATCAAAGAATTTTTTCTTTTGTCCACTGAAATACCATTGTTTATCAGCATGTTGACAGTTATGTAAGTCTATAACATAATTCTTGTTAATTTGTATAACTAATTCACGTTGATGAGGTAAGAAGAACCAAAAAGAAAATGAATAATATCTATCAAAAAGTGATGATTGATAATGTTGTTCGAAGAAATATTCGCTACCAGTAATATAAAATGGATCAATCACTGGTAGAAGATGACATTCACTTGATTGTAAATTTTGAGGAAATAGAGATTGATCGAGGTTTTGTATTAGTCCTTGCCGATGGTTACGAGGTGACTGTCGAGAGAACTTCAGTGATCGATGAAACCATTTGTTAAGAAAATCTTCATCGTCCATAATATGCGATCGCCAATAATGACAAACAAGCGAGGCTCGAATCAGATCTGGCAACTGATCAATGTAGTAAAAGATGCTCCTGAATAATTCAATGGGTAATTGATCCATTTGTTTTGATCAGTTCACTTGTCAACTTCATATGTATATACACAAGTATATATACGTATATGTAACCTCTCGTGGTGGATTATTTGAAAAGAATGGACGGTTATTGTTTTTTCATTCGTCCGACAACCAACAAAAGAATGAAAAAAAGACCTTGCATGAGAAAAGGTCATAGCAAAAGTTTATTCGTGATAGTTTCATTTTTCCTCGGCAGAAAATAAATAGCATTATAGGTCAACTTTATGTCGGCTGAATATGATCATTGCCAAATCGAAAATCTACAAAATACGTTGGAAAAAAAATGAATTTCAAATTAAATCATTTTTTTCTCTTACGCTTTTATCAAATTTATATTATATTCGATGTATCCATTTCATCTGAATTATTCTTTGAAAACCATAAATAAAGACATTGTTTTCTTTCTTTTTTAGTTTTAAAATAAGACAAAAGTCAATCAATCCACTCTTAGAGAAGATCATTTATTTGATGTTTACTATTGCTATTGTTTTGTTCAATTTCTTGAACTTATTTCTCGACCAGTTATAGCAATCATTGCTAACATCTCAGCAATTAGAAATGCGATAATTACACCATCTTGAGGGTGGGTGTGAGTGTGGATGTTTATTCGCCTTCAATCCACACCCACACTCTCATATGACTAATGAGGGTTTTAATAATCAAACTGGTATTGATCGTAAAGCAGGTTTTATTTATGGTGGAAATCAATGGAATTGTGGAACATGGATGGATAAAATGGGTTCAAATGATAAAGCAAATAATAAAGGATATCTGGCAACACTACGTGATGGATCAGCTATTGATTTAATTGCTTTAGCTCGTACAATTATTTCATGGATTATACAAATGAATAAACAAGGTTATTATCCATATAATTCAATTGATACAACATCACTTAATTCTGAAGATAAAATTAGAATATCATTTGAAAAAGAATTTTGGATTGATCAAACAAATTCTTCCAAATATGTTAATCGTAAACAAATTTATAAAGATACAATTAATTCAACATGGAAATGGACTGATTTTCAATTACGACCTAATTTTCTTATTACAGCTGTTGTTGCTCCAGAAATGTTTGATAAAACTCATATATGGTTAGCTTTAAAACAAGTTGAACAAATTCTTCTTGGAAAATTAGTGATTATGTTGATGATGATGAGTCGAATGATTATAAACGAGCACATGGTTTTAATTATCATAATAGTCCAGAATGGTTATTATATTCGTGCTAAACTTTATTGGTCAAAACAACAAAATGATCCTTTAATTGTAGAACAAACAAGAAAATATTTAGAAGAAATTGTTTCTGCACATATGGAATTAATTTTATCAAATGATTGGAAAGGTTTACTTGAATTAACAAATGCTAATGGAAAATTATGTTCTCATTCATATTCTGTTCAAGCATGGTCTTCCGCCACACTTTTAGACGCTTTATATGATCTCACACAATGTTTAAATTGACCAAATATATTTTTATATTTATTTAATAAATTATAATTCTATTTCAGTACATATATCCATGAACTAACTGAAAATTTTAAAGTAGACATAACTATCATGATCTCAAGCACAACAGAGAGCGATGAGGGTGGTGCGGAGAGTATTTTCGACGAAACGAGAACTAACTATTTGATTGTTTATACATTAATTTTGTCATCGGAAGTGAAAAGAACATGTACTATCCTAAAACATGATGAATTTATTTATTTATCAATAAAAACAAGTTTTTCACAATAATAACAACTATATACATCTTAAATCTCGTTTGAACTAATTAAAGCATTTGGAAATGTTTCTTTTGTTTCATCTTCATCACAGTATTCATATTCTCTGAATATATTTAAATCAGAAATTTGTTCACAGATCAAAGCAATTTGTTGATTTTCATGAATATAACTATTAATAACATGAATTGTAGTACCATCGACAATTAAACATCGAATATTTGGTGTTAATAATAAAAAATCAATATATTCTAAATCATCTGTAGAACCATAATATTTTAATGTTTTAATTGTATTTAATATAATTCGATTTCTTCTTTGAAATATTTCAGAATCTACAGAACATGTATGCCATGATATAATCATTTGATTTAATTTAGGAAATGTTTCTTTAATAAATTTCAAAAATTTCAATGTTATTGGTGTTGAAGCAAGATAAATTGATTTTATATTATTTATTTGTAATGGTATTGTTAGATTTGTACGATAACAAAGAATTTCATCTGTTATTGTGTCAGTTTCTTTTAATATCCATGGTAATGAAACAATAGTAAAACAAGGAATACTTCGATCATGATAACACATAACTGGATGATCTGACCAATATGATGTTGAATGAAATGTTGATATTAATTTATCTAGATCTGAAAATGAAATATAGAAAATATGTTTAATATAATTCTTTAAAAATAATCATATTCTTACCATTATTAATATCGATATTTTGTTTATAACTTGATATTTGAAAAATAAATTTGAATTCTTTCAAATTTGGAATTTGTGAATGAATCGTTGATTCTAAAATCTTTCCATTAATTTGTTCATCAACTGACATATTTAATGTTAAATATTGAAGAGATTTTTGAAATGGTTCTGTAAATAATAATAAACGATCATAAGAAAAATCTAATGAATCAATAATTAAATATTTTAATGATGATGATAATTTATTCTTTTTATTTTGAATATTTTTATAATCATATTTATCATTTTTATCTAATTCACAAACTTCAACATTTAAATATTCTAATTTTGGTAAATATTCAATTAATATAAATAAATCATGAATATAATGTAATTTTATTGTTAATTCTTTTAAATATTCATTTATTTTTAATATACTCGGTTTAAATGAAAACCATAATATTGATAAATCACTAATATCTTTTAATATTAATTTTTCTATAATAGAATCATTTTGAAATAATAATAATAATGCAATATTATGATTAAGAGTCATATAATCATCATTAATATCATCAGTATCTAAATTTAAAATCAATGATTTACATTTTGTTTTAAAGATATTTAAATATGATTCTGACAAATGATTATTTGGATTAGAAGCAAATCGATAATTCCATGTGATTGATTTAAGATATGGATATTGATTAAGTATTGTTGATTTTGTTGGAAATAATATTTGTAATTGTGAATGATTAAATTTTATATTTGTTATTAATGGTTCAAATAATGATAAAGATTTCTTAAGCCATCCTTTTTTCTTTTTTGCTACATCAATTTTATATGGAAATTGATTGATAAGAAAATTTAATCGTTTATTTAGACCATAGAATGATTCTATCATATCATAAGATGATAAATAAATTAAAATAAATTCTAACAATTCATTAGGTAATGACATCAGGTTTGATTTTATTGTATCTAACAAAAAAGAAAGATAAATTATTTGTACGATAAATAAATATATTTTTCACTTTCTTTTTTTGTCAAGCATTGTTTCATCGTATTATTCTCATCTTTATCCATAATTATTTATGAAATCCAATGTAAATCTGTTAATATAAAGAACAAACGTCAGCTATGTCAGCTATGTAGAAGAAAATATTTTACCCACATTTATTCTCCATATTTAAATGATATCAACCTTTTAAAATACAAAAAGAGGGCGTTAATTTATGTCATTATATGTTTTAAATATTAGTGATCGTCTTAATCGAATACAAATGATAAAAATATGGAATAGATTTTATTAGAATATATAAAAGTGAAATGATTAATGAATAAAAGATAATTTTGTTATCATATTTTATGTGTTGTTTTTATCTTATTCAAGTGCATTCTGCTCTCTCACACGATATTCTATGATCAATATGAGAATAAAATAATTTTAAGACTTCTAGAAAGATATTGTCTTTTAACAAATAAAATTTTCTTTTTCATCTATTCAGTTTAGATAGAATTTCTTCAAATGTTCGAATATATATTTATATCCACCATAATTATTGGATCAATTCTTTATATAAATCGACCTCAACGTGAAAAACAATTAAAATCTTCAAAAACTGGAAAGAAAAGTATTTGGAAAATCGAGTTCTGTTACTTTTGAAGCTCCACGTCAAATTCCTTATCCTGATTGGTCAATTGAAACAACTCGTCCATTTAAATACGACCCTAATTATTTTATAACAATGGGTATTTCAAAAATGGATTGAATTAGATAATCAATGGAATAAATATCATAATGAAGAACTTGAACGTCTTTCATCTGAACGCGAGCATCTCGTTTATGTAAAATATCATCTAAAGCAGAAGATGCAGCACTTGAAACAATGGAATTATTATCGAAATATTTAATTGATCGTTATCCATCTTTATTTGAATATCAACAAAATAAAGAACAAATTCAAATAAAATCATCAAATCCTCTTAAGTATGCATCATTATTAATTCAAGATGATTTAATATTAATGATTGAAGGAAATGATGGACAATATTATTTAAAAGGTGGTTCAATTGTTTTACCTAAATTTTGACGTCTTGAAGATAAATTTCAAATGTCACTTGCACAAATTCATTTTCGTAGTGAAAGACAAACACTTCAAAGATTACCAAGATCAGGTGCTATTTTATTGAATAATTCAAATTGAATCACAAACGTTTTCCAATCCAAATTCAACTTAAAACATCGAAATGTTTCTTTGAACGAATATTTTCATCAGAATATTTTTGTTAAGAAAATCTTCGAGAAACAAAATGATGAATGATGATATTTGTTGAGAAGAGATTTGAATAGAAGAGAAAAGAATTTCAATTTGATGAAAATATCAGAAGAAGAAATAATCAACGAATTGATGATAAATCAACAGATACAAATGTGAAATGAACAAGAATTTAAAGATTTGAAAAACTCCAATAATGAAAATATGAAAGAATATTTCAATTGAAATGAATCACATCGAAAACTCTCGAAGAATATTTTAATCAAATGAATTCAATTTTCATTTGTTGTTGATTTTAATGATCAAAATCATCAATCTTATCGAAATATTTCAAGTTTATTAAATTTTTTTAATCAATTATTAAATCAATTCAACAATGTTGAAATGTTAAATTTATCTTTTTTGTGTACTCAAAAAGTGAGTACGCTACTAGAATCGGTCAGTGTGTCCGTCCGGCCGTTTACACGATAACTTTCGAAAGGAGAATCAGACTGAGCTGAAATTTTCTACGCAGTTTAATCTCATTGACATCTCGATCGAGTTTGAAGATGAGCCGAACCGGTTGTACCATTGTTGAGTTATAAAAGAAATTCTCATTATTGATCAAACCATCCTTGAAGGGAGGTATACGGATTTTTTTTCAAAAAACATATTATTCTCAAAATTATTTACAACATATATAAATCGCCTCAGTTTTTAACGCTAATTCCAAATCGTAGCTTTCTAACAAAACATCGCCTGAAAAAGGTCTCAAAATGCACAAAAACTGTATCCACTAACTAAATTGCCTAGATATGTCTCAGATGACTAGTAGTGTTGAGATTTTTCAAATACCTGATTGTGTCGCTAGTCAAAAGGACTATCGCAAGGTAACAACCCGAACTCGATAACTATTAATATTAATGAGTTATTATGAAAATACTCGTGTCTGTATCTATCATATATTTCTTATAGATTCATAAGGTTGCTTATGATCGTGTCAAGAGCTCTAAATAATGATAGGGGGGCAAATATGGTGCGTTTGAGGTTTCCTCAACATTACACTGTCCGAAAACGATGAAAAACTCACATATACTGACATTGCCGTTAGAACTTTTTATTGTTGACTAAGAATCAAAAAAACAAAGTCAATGTCTGTTTCCGCATTTATTCTCCTTATATTTCTGTTGATAAACATTGTTCTACAAATAAGAAACAAAAAAATAAACAATATATTTTGTTACATAGATTTATTCTAATAAATTCCAATTGAAGAAGATATGTTCATTTTGACGAATAATTTTATAATTAACGAGAAGTTTTTCATGAGAAATAATTTTATTTAAATTATTGATCATTTTGTCATCCGCTGTAGGAACATAAAAACATAATGAATTAAGATAAGTATGACTAATTTGTCTAAGTATCGATGGGATATCTAAATTATGTAAATAATCAATTTTAAAAAATGATAAATAAGGAGAAAATTTCATAAGAAAATCGATTTGTTTTATATTTGTAAGATTTCTAAGATAAATTTTCTTAATTTGACTTGTTAAATGTATTGAATAAAGAATAGAAATTTCTTTTAAATTTAAATCTCTTGAATTATCTTCTAATAATAATGAATGAATTTTTAATGATCGAAGTTCAAATAAACAATTTGTTATTTGTAATAATAAACCAATAAAAAGATTTTCGTTTGTAATTTCTAAATGATAAATTTGTGTAAAATTTAAAACACGATTAATATCATCTTGAATAAAATAATTATATTTATTTATATTTATTCGTGAAATAATTAATTGATTTAATTCAAATAAATTTTCTTCATGAAACCATTGTTTTCTAAAAATATACAAAAAAAGAAGATAAAATATTTTATGAAAATTTCTGATTTACTTATAAGGCAAAATAGAAAAGAGAATATTTTGATTATTAATCTCAATTTCTAAAATCCATTTTCGTTCAATCCAAAATGATCTTGTAAAATCATTTGTTTCTTCATCATTATCCTTATCTCTTAGAATTCTATCAACAGCTTCTGTATATTTCAAATAAAATTTAGCCAATTGAGGCATAAATTTTAAAATAAGATTTTCCCATCGAGAAGCATTGAAATACTCGATAAATTTATGATAAGGTTTAAAAGAAAAAACCTTTAATTTTGAGCCAATTTTACTAATTAATATTTCAATACATTCAAACATAATATCCCAAGTAGTTAAACATATGGATAAATGTGTTAAATTAGGCCATATAGAAGGATTATTTGTTTCAAGTGATGAATGATAATAAAATAATTTCATAAGAGAAACATAATGAATTGAAGGCATATATGATATTATATTTGTTGTAGAAGAAAGAAAACATTGATAATCAATAATAAGATATTCTAAATGACTCATTTGTTTATTTGGATTAAATGATGCGAATTGTAATGAACCTGAATAATCATCTATTGATAATTTAAAATATTTTAACATTTTCAAAGAAAAAATTTCATGATACATTTGAGAATCATCAATATTACATTGTAACAATTTAATTGTTAATGATTTGAGACATGGTAAAGATTGTAAATTTGAAAGAAATAAAAGAAGTTCATTTGAATTAATTGAAGTAATACGAAGTAATTCAAGATAAATAAATAATGAATCAATTAAATTTATTGAAAATGATTCATTTAGACTAAGTGAATAGATTTGTTCTTTATTAAAACGAAGAATTTCATTCGAAATATTAGAACAAGATTTCATTTTTAATCTCAATGATGAAGAATTAATTAATTGTTCAAAACGATAATTAATATTTGAAAATATATGATGGATTTGATAACCATCAAGATAATTAAAAAATCTTCAATTATTGATCTATAATTGTCGTTCATGTTTATATGATATTGGACTTTCATTATTTCAATATCATATATAGCAGAGATATCCATGGCGGCGCTGCCGTGGGTGTGGGTGTGAGTGTTGATCAAGACAACTCCCTCACCCATCCACACCCACACACACACACACTCAAGATGGTTTGTCATTTGTAACGTATTTTTGCTGAATATCCATCTATTTAGCCTCGATCACAACGTAAAAGGAAAGAATTCAGCGGAAACATCTATCGAATTGCATCCTAAATGGATTGAATCAACGTCGTTATTGTGAGGAAAAAAATTGTCAGAATACGAATGCGTCTCCTTTTTCTTGACAAACTATACTGAGAAAGCAAAGAAAAATAGCATAACTCCAAAGTGTCGGTCGTTCTAGTAACACCGACTATTCCGAAGAAAGAAGAAGAAAAGCAGAAACTCGTTAAAAAACGACGGTAAAAAAAATTCTTCCCTCTCTTCGCTCCAACCAAGAAAATATTCAACGATATCAGTCGCTTCTACTCATACATTCTCTTTTTCTTTCTTGATCATATTTTTCCTCTTCGTCTGCTAGTTTTACAAAATTCTCCGAATAATAAACGTACTGAAAGAAAAGAAATGTCTTAATGAATCGACTACACAACAGACGAGCAGATAAAATGAAATACTGACGACAATTTACAAGCAAAACAAATTACAGCTAACTACACTTAGATCTATTCATTCACCAACATTCTTTCGAATGCAATGGCGGATTCCACGTTCATCATTAGCCGTAGATATCTACAGCGTCGTTCAGTATCATCATCACTTCAATCAAGTCCGCCCCATCGATTTTCAGACGAGAACAAACAGAAGACTATTCTAATGTGGCTCGACAGACATTCTAATGAAAGCGATCATGATTATCAAGTTTCTCTGCAAGAATTAAAACAAGTGACCAATGATATTTATACGTTTGCTGATTCTGATGTTTGCATCGATTTTCTAACCGACGTTAGTGATCAAACGAAGAGAGTTATCTTGATCATTGGTGGTATGTTTGCTAAACAAGTCGTGCCGTTGATAGAAGACTGGCCGCAAATCAGATCGATTTTGATACTTCATAATGATGTTTGTCAATATGAAAAATGGTCCGAACAATATCTCAAAGTTAGAGGTGTCTTCACAGGTATCACTTCTCTTATTAAATGTCTTCAGCAAATAGTTGATCCGGATTTTTTCACAATGATTGACATTACTGGACCGCCAAACATTGGTTCGAAGTATCTAAATCCATCATTTATGTACTCGCAATTATTAAAAGAAATTCTATTAGACCTACACACCGAAGGTCGGACTCGTCGAGATTCTTTTATTCAGTACTGTAATGAGCACTCTTCTGACAGGAAGGTGATCGAGACATTTGACCGTGATTATGAGAAATTTCTTCCGATTTATTGGTATTCAGCTCATTCATTTGTATTCGAAACGGTCAACAGAGCTTTGCGTACGGTAAATGTTGATCTACTCTTACGGATGAGTTTCTTCATTGGTGATCTTCATCACCAAATCCAAGAACTACATTCCAAGAGTCATCAGAAAGATCGTTTGGTTGTTTATCGCGGTCAAGGGTAAGTTTTTTCATCCAATGCAATTCATACTTGCATTCTTGTGTTTTCAGTCTGATCGAGAAGGAATGTCAGAGACTCGAAACTAGTGTGGGCGGTTTTATTTCGTTTAATTGTTTTCTCTCGACAAGTACCACAGAACGTGTATCACAGTTCTATGCTGACATCTATCGGAACATGCAAGGATACAAAAGTGTGTTATTTGAAATTGAAATTAATACCGACATACCATCAAGTCCATTCGCATCAATCCAGGAATGGTCTCAATTTCCGGAAGAAGATGAGATTCTTTTTTCCACACATACAGTCTTTCATATCGATCGTGTTGTGGTTGAAAATGATGGTCTATACCGAGTTAATTTGAGTTTGACAAATAATTATGATAGAAATCTACGTAAACTGATGGCTCATCGAAGGAAAGAGATTGTCGGACGGACTTCGATACATCGGCTCGCTCTTCTATTATATCGAATGGGAAAATTCGATATCGCCGAAAAGATCTATCAGCAGTTACTTGGTGAAATTGATGCTCTAGATGAGATTCTTTATATTAACCATTATCTCGCTCGAATATCTTGCCAGATGGGGCAGTTCGGTAAAGCTCTCTCAATGCAATCGACATGTTTCCAGTTTATGACTAAACACAATCGAGCACTCGTTGCTGATGTATATGCTGGTATGGCAGAAGCCTTTGTACGACAAGATATGCTTGAAGACAGTTTGGAATTGTACGAACGAGCCTTCCAAATCGCTGAACAATCACAAACAATCAGTGATCACAGTAAAGTCTTATATCTTAATAATATTGGTTGTGTACTTAAACTTCAAAACCGTTACAACCAAGCGAAAAACTACTTCCAAAAGGCACTTGACATTGCACTTGCTCGTTTCCCATCAACACATCCCGATATAGCTGATTTGTATCAAAACATAGGTTCTCTGTACTTTGATATGGGTGATTTTCATACTTCGATCGATTACTTAACCAAATCGCTCGCCATACAGCAATCATCCTTACCAGCTGATCATCCTGCTTTAGGGAATACTCATTATAATCTTTCGAAAACATTCATCGAACTTCACCAAATCTATGACGCCATCCATCATGGTCAGTTGGCCGTCGATATCTTGAAAAAGACACTTTCGGATATTCATTTCGATGTACGCGAGGCTCAAGCACAGCTCGATGCGATATCACTTCTTCAGCGTTAAAGGCGCGCTCTGGGTGAACTGCTGATCGTTCATTTACCCATAGTGATACTCAGTCTGCATTTAATGTCTATTCCGGAAAGAAACTTTTCCTTCAGAGATGTGGGTGTGGGCGTGAAGGCAAGGAATATCCACAACCGCACCCACACCCACACCCACCCACCCGAATTTTGTTTTTCTCTCTCTGTCATTCATCATCTTGTTGTTTCATCATTGAGGTTTACAACAATTACACATTAATAATTTTACGGACACTGGATCATTCAACCAGAAGAAAAATAAGATTGAAGGATATTTTTAAATTACAAACTACAGTATTAACAATGACCTTGTATTTTACAGATTTTGATAATAATTAATGAAAAATGAACTAAATTATGCATATATTAGTATAATCGTGCGCACGATAAATAGAATTTAATAGAAAAGAATATTATCAACAATATTTCAGTTAAATTATGTATTCTATAAGAATGTCTTGCTTAAGATCTATTGAGAACAATTTAGTAACAATAGAAATTATTTTGTGCACACTGTAGAATTAGTAGACACATCCTATCTCATATTAAGAATAGATTGTATACATGTTTTGTTTTGCTTATACTCATAAACTGTAGTTTTAAGCACCGGTAGGGATGTGTTTAAGACACAAAGTATTGTTCTTGGTATAACTGTAAAAATAAGAAGCTATTATCGACAGTATCCCTGTGACTTCTATCAATTCAAAATCATTCCGCGAAAAGAAAGTTTGTTGACGACAAAGCTATTATTTGATGACAAATGATTGTATTCGTTTTTTAGAGGCTTTTAAAAATGTAAATGCGAAGTGCAAGTTAAATCAACAAAGAAAACTTTCATGTGTGATTATTAGAATTGTCATCATTTCTTTTTTCGTTCTTGTATGTTCACAATCAGTGAAAGTGAGGTATGTGAAAATAAGTGAGTTACAAAGAGAAATAAAATGAATTTTTTTCGTTTTATCTTGTCGTATTTCTTCAAAAGTTTATTTTTTCATTGATTGTATCAAATAGATTTGAAAAAAGAAGTGAATATTGAGATATTTCTTTCGTTCATTTAGACAAATTCAAGAACAATAATATCGATGGAAATATTTAATATGCTACTCAATACATTATTCAACTTTTAGATTGTGTTGTTAGTTGATCAACATGTTTATAAAACTAGGAAAAAAAAGTATTGCTCATTTTTTCAAGATATAGAAATAAAAATTCTGGAATTTCATAGAATTACTTCTCTGTAAATCGTGAATATAGTTTTAATGAAAAGATGCTATATGCTGCATAATGGTAGAAACATTTATAATTATTTCTTTTTAAAAAAAATAAAAAAATAAAAGTAAATAGTACAGTCACCAACATTAATACATTGTTAAAGTAAATACCAAGCATGTTCAATTTATTTTTCCAGTAATATTCTCTATTCAATAAGTGCCAAGAGAAATATTACCATATGAAAGCCCTTTTTAGTTTCACATCTGCGCATTTAAATGGTACTTTACTTCATTAGACGATAAATAAATATTTCATTATGCTTCTAATAACACAGTGGAATGAAATACAATTATTATTCATTTAATTAATAGAAATATTTTCTTCAGATAAATCTGTAATATATTCTTTCATTTGATTTAAAATTGTGGATTATACAAAACCTGTTCATTTTTTAAGTTCATTAAATGACTGAGATTATTTATTCCTTCGTCAAATATCACATAAATTAAACTGTCGATTTAATGTTGTATAGATATATTTATCTAATTGTTTCTGTGCACCAACAATACCAACATCAAGTTTCTAATTCGATTCAATTGAGTTCGATAGTTATAGAAGATAAATTCAATATTAGTGATTTAAAAAGATCATTTCTTTATTATCTTGTAAAATATGTCATTATGTTTCAATTGGTAAGAATAGTACACTATATAATCATATTGAAATTTGTAAAAAGAAAAGTGTAAATTCACATGAGTCATTGCGATGAATAGATCATATGAATCTTCAATAAACAAATGAAGACTATATTCGAATTAAATCAACATCATATTTGCAAAAAAGCGATGTTTAAAACACAAATAACTTAAAGGTGGGTGTGGGTATAATGTTCGCATCCACACCCGCACCCACCCTTTTCAGTGAGAAATAATTAACATACCTTCCGGAATTCTTTCATTAGAAATTGACTGATCTAATTGGTAAAAATATTCTTGTACATAGATATACAATCTTCCTGATGGTGAACAATTAACAAAAACTGTTTTAAAATATCTGAGTTAATTCTTATTGATTTAATTGATGAATCAAAATAATAATGCTGTTCAAAATCATAAAATATCTTTAAACATGTTGACAATTATAAATTTAGATTTTAAATAGTAATATGATTATTTCTTTCAATTTTATCTTTTCAAGATTTATTGGTCTCAAAATTGATTAAACAAAAACAGAAATGATATTTTAACAAATACTTTTCAATTAAACCATCTTGAGGGTGGGTGTGGGTGTAGTACGAGAGAACAATGACTTATGCACCCACACCTACACCCAGTTTACTAACTGAACTAACATTGCATCCTTCAGAAAAGGATCAACAAATCGAAAGATGAGCGTTATTTGTTATTACTTTTGTGCTATTTCTGAAATATTAAAAGAAAAAGTCAAATGTTTTTTATGTTTATTTTAAGAATTATAATCGTTGTTCTACGTTGTTGATTTCATTGTTAACATCGTTAATAATTCGTTGCAAAATTGTATCAAAAGATTGTGTTGAATCAATATGAATCAAATTTTTCATTTGATTAAATGCTTTTTCTTTAGCAATTAAATATGACGCCCATACATGTTTATCAAAATAATCTAATGGATCAGGTGGATTATAAGTTCGTCGATTACGTCGTTGACGACATTGATCAAAATCCAAATCAAAATAATAAGATAAATTAAATATTGACTTTATTTCATCAATACTATAAATTATAAAACCTTCAATAATTAAGATATCAGTACTATTGTCATTAATGACTGATTTTATATTCGATACAAACTGATCAACATGTAATGATGTTAACGATTCCCAATCTTTATGATTTAATTCAGTTAAATGTACATGATTTGGATCATTTTCATCACGAGCATAAGAGTCTAAATCAATAACTCGAACTTTGTTATACGGACTTGACAGATATTTTGATAATTCGGAGCACATTGTTGATTTACCACTACATGTTATACCACCAAGTCCAATAATAAATACCATCTTTAGGAAGTAACAAATAGTTACTTGATTGTATTTCGTATCAATTCGTTGTTACAAATTCAGAGAAAAGACATATACATCATAAATATAGAACACATGACTACAAGTATTTCACGCAAACGAACACGTTTTCTTTCGTTCTGTTATTATCTTTTCGTTACATTTTTTACGAACCATGTGCAATACTCGTAGATTTTCATAGTTTTTTTTCGAAGTTTATCATGAAAAAAAACAACATGTTTACTTCATCGTAGAGATATGTTCAGATTTTGAAAAAAAGTTATTTTCGAATCATTTACATAAAATAATAAAAACATCTATTTTCTTTTTCTAATACCATAAAAACTAAATGAGATATTTTTAATAATAAATATCGGCGTGGGTGTGAGCTATATATGAGTGAATTGCAACTTTTTGGTACAATTAGATTTTTGGTGTATTTCGCTAATAACTCCAGTTTGCGCCAGCCGATTTCAACAATTTTTTGATATGTTATAGTACTTGGAACACCTCACTGCCGTGCAAAATTTCAGCTCAGTAGCTCATGTTATTGCTGAGTTATAAAAAATTTATGATGAAAAAATGTCATTTTTTCATGACATATGCTAAGAAAAGGAAATTTTTCGACTATAAAGAGGCAAGAAGAAAAGGAGATAATTAATCTATTTTGTACAGTTTTTGACGCTCTATCGAAATATATAACTAATTTTAGTTTGAATTTTCATTGGTTCGTTCATCTACTGGTCACATTGTTTAACAGACACTTGTTCGTTTTTATGTAGAGTGACACAAACACGGTTCTAGCTCAGCCTATGATAGAGCTGGCAGCGCGCGGATGATATAAAAAGAAAGCCAACACTTTAACTAGAAAACTGATGTAAAAAGGTTCTCTCTTATCAAGTTTATTTTAAACAAAAAAAAACGAACTTTCGAAAAAAAAAACGATATTTACTCACTTTGTAGAGTGACAATTTGAGAATTGTCTGATTCATAACTCGCGAACGGGTAGTTAGATTGAGCTCAAATTTTTAGAGAATGTGTAAAACAAAAAGTTCTATTAGTGGTAAAAATTTCAGCCTTTGATCTCGTACCGTTCTCGAGAAATTTACATTATACTGGAAAAAAATGTAGAGTGACGCTTTTTTTGAAAATTGGCTTATTTATAACTCGTGAACGGGTAGTCAGATTTAGTTGAAATTTTTAGAGAATGTATAAAACAAAAAGTTCTATTAGTGGTAAAAAATTCAGCCTTGGATCTCGTACCATTCTCGAGAAATTTACATTATACTGAAAAATGTAGAGTGACGTTTTTCAATAAAATAACGCTTTTTATGGTACATTTACATTGAGTAAGTCGTATCTCAGTTAATATGCGGTAAAGTGTTGGGAAATTTTTACTGTGTAGCACAGGCATAGAGTATAATAAAATGCACTGATCAGAAATTGTCTAGGTCTACTTTCAGTTTTTCGCACCAATTGTTCCAAAAAGTTGCAATTCACTCATATATATACAAACTCGGCATCCACACCCATTTCCTTTTGTAATATATTGAAATTTAATTGATTTGTTCATTTATTATGTCGATCACGAATAATTAATTGTGTAAGTGCATTAGTTTCAGTTTGAAATACTTTGAAAAAAATTAGAAGTTTAAATATTAAAAACTTGTAAGAATCATTTTACATTGTCTTTCATATTGCAATTGATCATTCTGTATTTGTTTTTATTTTAATGTTATTTCAAATAAATGCTCCACTGATAATAATTCGTGTTCATAACGTTTTATAGTTTCACGTTTTGTTTGTAAATCCTATTAAAAAATAATAAATTATAAGAATTTCAAAAAAAAAAATACGAATTAGAAGATAGTATATTATATTTGTTAAGATTTTATTTTTAGTTTTAAATATTTCCAATTGAATTTGTATGTCTCTTGTATGTTGTTCATTTTAAACCAAACTCATGTTCTAATTCATTATTTAGATTGGTTATTCAAAGAAATTGCAAACGATGTTCTTGTATTTCAAGTTTCATTTTTTGATTTTCATTTAAAAGTTGTTCATTAAAGTATTTTAATTATTCTTCGTTTGTTTGATGATTTGCTACTTTTATATACTATGTTATTTTATAATACCAGTTAACATATTCAATTGAAGTAATACTGCTTGCTATTTAAATGATTACTTTCACAAATATGTTCAGTATTTAAATCTTTATGGATGGAATCGAATTGTTTTTAATAGTTTTTGATGAAACAATCGTTGACATAACATGAAGAGTTAATTAGAAATAAATGAAACGAATTTTTTCGAATGAAAAAACAATTTTATTATTTATACATCTGATATATTATTTTCAGGTGAAATTAATAAAAATCATTCTGTTAATTTAGATTTATTTGCTTGTGAAGTTATTGTTTGTTGTAAACGTTGAATTTGTATCTTAAATAAAATTATTCTTTTTATAAAATATTTTAATATTAAACAAATAGAATCAACGTGTTTTTCTTTACTGACGACATGTTCTGATGTGTCTTTCGATTTTTCAAACACTATTTACAGTCTACAAACAACGTTTGCGCAATTTATTGATAGATGGTGTAATATCATTCTATCAAGAATTAAAATCTTATGTACTATTAACAATTACACTTTTAATATCGATATGAGAGAGAACATCATAAAGAGATAGATCAATCTGTTATTCACTGTTGTTATGTTGTATAAATTTTATTTTAGTTCACAATAAAATTAAAAAATACTGAAGCCAATCGAAACTATTATCGTCATCTATTTGATTCAATCTTGTATTCATAATTTAGCGTTCTTTACAACGATCACCACATGCTTTATTAGATTGACTTCAAGTATATTCTCTTCTACTCTCGTTCGCTTAATGTATATTTTATTATACATTTACAATCCTATCTACATATAACTAAATGTATGTGCACTCAACCAAATCTATAATTAATTTTATGTATATACACATACTTCAATATCATGTATAAAAAAAAGAGAACGAGTGAAGAGTATATAAGCGCTTCATATGAAATAAAACCATAAGCAACAATACTTAGTAGAGGACCATCTTAGAATTCGATAACAAGCAATATATAACAGCCTTGGAACAAATTTCATAATAGATACACAAGTTTTATTTTCAATTAATCGTCTATGATTTAAACATCAGTAAGTACTATTACTTCACTTATGCAGTCGGCAGTTTTTAATGCACTAATTTTGTATATCTCGTCAAATAATCTCAAATTTCATAATTCCTCCAACATTTGAGTTATGAGATTCAAAAAGTATGGGATAAACCTATTAATGTCACGAATTCAATATTTAATCTCAAAATCTTTCGAACAATTTTGATTATCTCTTAGAATGAGACAGATAGAAATTTTCGGAATTAAAATCTGTTGTTTGGATATCCATACAAAACACGATATAAAAAAATTTTAATAGCGCATTTAATAAAACGCATAGAATTGTATTTATAAAATCACTGCAAAGTCTCTCATAAATTCTGAGTATACAAGTATAAGGAAAGTTATTCTACTAAATAAACATAGAAAAACTTGTTCGCATTTTAGTTAGTCGTTCGAATTTTCAATAGTTGGCCATCGGACATTAGTTCGCTCTCACTACTCGCTTTTTGATATTATTCTGTTTCAACAACTAGAAATACACTGAATTTAGATACTCAGGTTAAACGTTGAAATTATGGAATGAATAGTAAGTCATTTTATTTATTTCAAGTCATAAAATGATGTTAATCAAGCTAACAGTAATGTATTTTATCTACTTTATTAAAGCTCTATTATTTTAAGTTGTTTTAATCGATTAGTTTAAGGAAACAATAATTATTTTTAATTATTTAATTTTTTCTTTTTCTTTTAGTTTACTTGGTTTGAGCATTCGAATTACATTATAAACAGAACATAGTACATATGCAAAAAAACGAGCTTGTGTCTATCGTGTTTTACTAAAACTCGACCGTTCACACCAACATGCATGCTAAAATGTCACTATTTTGTACGCTAAAAACTAGACAATTTTTTACAACAATACTACATTAGTCCAATGTTTAATTTACGATGCATATACAGTCATTTCAATGGATGATTTTAGAATTATAGAACATAAAACAAATTAAATAAAGTAAACTAGAATTTGTCCGTAAACTATTATTCTCGCAATGACTCGGCAATTACTATATTTAATGTGTTTCATATTTACTGTAGTAATTATAGTTACGACATTGTTACAAAAAGAAACAATAATGATGCTTGTGAAAGCCTATCAATCAAATAATCGCACTTGGTTGAAATTATCTAAATCTGCCGGAGATATTCGTACGACCGATATATTTTTCGAAAGTATGATGCGAAATAATCGAAGTGGTTGGGAAGAACTACTAAATGTTGCTCTCAGCTCACCATGGCTTTTTCCAAAATCACGAACGCTTTTTCCTTATCTTGGATTACATAATAACTTAGATGCATTACTACATATAATGGCATACCGAACGAAAAAAATCCTGATTCTCGGATTTAATTGGCATTGGCAAGCTATGGCACAGAATAATATATTTACTCTAGTCAGATTTACTCGTACAACTAACTATATTATTGCTGCAGGTGATGAATTAACATTATTCGTGTGTATCGAATTAAATCTTCCTTGTTATAACGCAACGTCTTATATGATGAAGTCTGGAAAAAACGTGTCTAACATGCACGAAGCGTACTTCAATGATCCATATTATTTAGCTATGGTATGGTACTTGCTTCCACTTTATCTAGATATTATTCGAAAAGGTTTTACAATAATGAAAAGTGACATAGATATAAGCTACGCTGGCAAGAATATATGGAAAAAGTACGAGTTAATGGCTGAAAATACTAAAGCTGATATTATATTTATGAGAGAACATCCAGCTAATACGGGACATTTTTATGCCATTCCAAACGATCGAGTTATTGCTTTTTTTGAAGAATGGATAAGTTCACAAGATTCTTTTAAGAATCTTAACGATCAACAAGCACTAGCACATTTGAATGGAAAAATTTATATGATATGTAATTCAGCAGATTCGTGCAATCATGTGAAAACATTACCAATGAATCGTCTTCGTGGTAATAATACGAGCAGTAAAATAGCTGCAGTATCAACCTATCCATCGTCGTTTACACGATTTAGTGGTATATGTCCACCAGATAAAGCTATTAATCCATGCGATGAAGATGTTCTATATGTACATACTATTTGCATGTCAGGTTTTTTGACTAAAATGAATAAACTGAAACAACTTGGATTTTGGTTGATGGAAGATGTTTGCACTGAGACGAAGCTCGATATTTCTTTACAGTCGTCGAAAGTCATCAGTGTATCTGTAACTCGTTGTGTTCCAATACCGCGTTTATCTCTAGCAGTCGAAAACACTTTTTTACATTGTAAAGCATCTATATGAGCTATATTGTATTACTTATATTAAAACCATGTTTGTTTTGTCCTAGGGTGTAGGTGTGAGGGTGATGGTGTAAGTGTGTCTTCTTCTCACTCATCGCGTACAGTCACACCCATACCCTCAAGATTTAAATAAATAATACTATGCTAGTAACGTTATCTAGAAAAGTTTATTATAAACTTCAATCAAGCTTATTTTTCATTACAATGATATACCGACGAATCTACGGATTTTATATAATGATAATACAAATATTTCTATTCTGTTCGATGTTTAATTATTATGTTACTAGTTTACAAGCTAGTGATTTCTATGTTCAAAATTTACCTCTTCTACCAGAAGCTGAATCTGCTATTCATATGCATGCTGGATATTTACCAGTCGGTTCAAAAACAGATCTTGAGGGTGTGGATGTGGGATGTGGGTGGGGTGGGTGGGGTGGGTGGTGTGGGTGTGGGTGTGAGTTAAATGAAAGTAAATACTCACACCCACACCCACACCCCTCAAGATTTCTTTGCTAATCTTTTATTCATTGACCAACCTATTAGTACTGGTTTTTCTTATGTTAATCGAAATCACTTTATTAAAGAACTCGATGAAATGGCAGAATATGTTCTCAATTTTCTCGATCAATATGTTAAGATTTTTCCTGAATTACTTAAATAAGATATTTATTTAGCTAGTGAATCTTTTGGTGGTCAATATATTCCTTATATTGCAAAAGTAATTCTTGAAAAACGATCATCATTCAAACTACGTGGTCTTCTTATTGGAGATGGGTGGATTGGTCCGATTTCTCTTTACAATTCATATTTACTATGTGCAATTGCAAACAATTTAGTCAAAAACGACTTCGAACTTTATACTAATATTATTCGTCTAGTTGCACTATGTCAAGACACATTATCGAAATAAGTACATATTTATATTTATTATCCATGTTTTTCTATTCTCGACGAAATAATGTATAATGGTATAAGGAAGGAAAATAACGTAGAAAATTCATGTATTAATGCTGATGATATACGATTAAGTGCAAAAAAAACCGATCTATGGATCAAATGGGCCATCTGAACTTGAATATGTTTCCACTTATTTAAATCGACGAGATGTTATGTCTAGTATTCATATAAATGAAAAGAAATCTCAATGGAAAGATTTTACGGAATCAGTTCTTAACACATTTCAAGCATTGAATTCTAAACCATCTATTCACTTGTTACCTGATTTACTTTCAAAAATTCCAATTGTACTTTATAATGGATCGTCGATGATGAATCTGCAGGTTATATACGCTACGCGCGAAATTTAACTTATATTCTTTTCTTTAATGCTGGTCATATGGTACCTTATAATCAGGCACGTCGATCACAAGCTATGCTACATCAATTCGTAGAACTGAATTTAACTTATCCTAACAGTCAAACAATAGATAGTAATTATACAAAAGATAATCAGAACACGCACCGTAGTTTGAAGTATATTATATCAATTGTATGCATTATTATCGTAGTTGTTATTAGTATCATTCGGTTTCTTGCTCTCAAACGACAACAATCAGTGTCATATACAATAGTTAATAATGAGAATGATGAACCTGTTACATCCGATGATGATACTCTGTAAAAACAAAAAGGCGCCATAGGGAACCACTAAGGATTTTAGTGAGCATTCAGAACCTTTTAAGGTTTCGTTCTTTTAACTACCAATATTTATATGTTTATCCGTTGCGTCATCATATTTTTGTTTTTTTGTTTATTTTTTAAATACGACGTTCAGAATTTAATGCTATCTCGTAAGAACCCACGTACATATATGATTGTCTTCAGCATTTTAAGCAACAGATTTTACACTTGCTTTTGTTTTAATAACATATGTTCGCTTTTCAACACAATTTGTTTGTACTTATTTTGTTTTTGTTTATTTTAAATAAAGAAAAACGTTTTTTAATTAAAATTGATTCATTAATTGATAGTTAATTGAGGGTGTGGGCGTGGGTGGGTTGGTGCGGATGCAGATCTGGGTATCTTTTTTCTCCACACCCACATCCTCAAGATCGCTTTTTAACGGCCGATTTGTGTCGATAGATGATGCATAAAAGAACAATTGTTGATTCGAATAGTGAATTATCAAGTTATGATTATAGACCAGAATTTGATTTATAAAAAATAAATGAAAATTAAATTCTCTCTTCAATTGATGTTCATCTATCATCTTCGATTGAAATATTCTTATTTGATATTCGTTTATTTTTCGTTATCCACCGTAGAAGTTTCGCTTTTCCATATATTCTGTTTCCCGATGACAAATGAATGCGTTTGATAAATCTTTCGATCTCTCGCTCAATAATTATTCGTACATTTCTAAGCACTTCTTGATTTTTTTTGCTTCGATCGAGAGGCATCCATTTTTCATAGAAAAAGTAAATGAATATGATTTAAGATTTTTACAAAAGTTTTTAATATAATTTGTACCAACATTTTATTTTCGTAGTGAAATTATATCAATAAATTTAATTGGACGTTTGTGAATTGTTTGAGTCAATGACTCTTCGACTGTTTTCGTTTTGTTTGAAGACATCGAGTAGTGAATAAATTGTAAAGATTAAAAGAATGTTTGAAATACGATTAAGAACCACCAATAAGTAAATTGTTTCGTTATCCAAATTATAGACAAAAATAAGCAGTAGTATTTATACTCATATTGAATTATTTCGGAAGTCTAGGATTGCATACACCCTCATCCTCAAAATACAGTAGTTATAATTAATTCTTGTGATTTTAACCATTTAGAATTCTTGCAATCTGATGATCTTGGGTATTTCCAGTGAAATCTTAAGATTATGATAGCTGTGTTCTACTATTACTATTAATTTACTAACAATGTAGATAAAATTAATTCGGATTTCTTAGAAAGTCAGATTCTATTAAGTCATTTGAAATGATCTCTAGGCAAGATCAAAACACGTGTCATGGTAGCTTGTCTCACCCTCACACCCACACTCACCCTCAATCTTGAGAAATATTATAATAGCCACAAGTTCGTTCAAGTATAAAATTCACTCTATATAGATCTATTCAATTTTATTCTGCTATGCTATAATTCATAGAGACTGCTAAATTAAAATAAGAAATTATGTATTACTCGCGCATTTTATTCCATTTTTATAAAATCTAACGAAAATCTTGAATATCACTCAAAAGTCCTGGATCTGCTAAGAATGTTTTTTATAAGAAATATCTATTAGATGATCATATAAATTGTAATAAATCTTGTTGAAACGTTCTTCTCACTTTTAATGATATACTTCTTTGGTCTTGTTTTCCGTTCATCATAATCCTCGCGTGTGTTACGGCATTATCATATCGTCCAGTTTCAGCTTGAGTGATATATTGAACTCTCTGTTGTACTTTAAGTACTTCTTTAGGTTTTACCTGCATTCGCAAATTGTACTCAATACCTTACGTCCTCTATAAATTGCAGTAATTCTATTTAAACCTCTTATTAGTTTTGAAAACATTTTCAGAATCTCTTATAATATTTAACCAATTTGAAGACAAACGAAAATTTGAAATTTTTTTATTAAATTTAAATATGATAGGTATATGATTTACCATGTAGGCTTTATTTGCTTGTAAAAAGAAAGAAAAAGTTACACGAGCTGCATAGTATGGCAATGATTTTTGCTTTCTACACTTTAACATCGGTCAAAGGTGAACTTTGTGAAGAAAAGAAAGATAAAAACAAAGCATGTGATAAACTACACCTTCTCCATCATAAAACTTCTTTTTTTATCGAAAGAACACAAAAATTAACACGATGCAGAGCAACGATATTAATACTAATTCAACTATTTTAATTCGTACACTTCATCCAACAGAAAATGAAATTGAACAGTGTCACAATATAACACGTAGTGTATTTAAAGAGTATGGGCAATCTGATGAAATGATCACTAAGTATATGATCGAACAAGATATGAGTGATATTGAAGAAAATTATTTAAAATTATCACGAAGTCATTGGTGGGTAGCAGTCATTGGTGAAAATATTATCGGTCAAGTTGGTCTTCAACCAATGTCTGTAGGTGATAGAGAATACTACAATAAACTAATAATGGATGAAAGTTTACGATTTTACAAGGATATTCATCCGGACGACATTTGTGAATTAAGACGAATGGCTGTACTATCCGGATATCAAAATCAACACATTGGTCGAAAACTACTACAGACATTTATTGACTTTGTACGTAAACAAGACTATAAAGCTACTCATTTAACTACAGGTATTGTTATGAAAAAAGCCTGTAATTTTTACGAACGATGCGGTTTTAAACGTGGTCAAATTTTTCGTTATACTATAGACTTCAACGAATTAATTAGTAAAGATAAGAAGGATATTGCTGTTGACAGCAAGAAGACTGATAAAATAACAAAATTCTTCGGTACACCAGTCGTATTCAAGACTTTAAATGATTTAACTGATGATGATTGGGAACAAATTAATCAACCGAAGATGATAATGGAAATGAAATCAAAATATTTTTATATACAAAATTTTTGGATGAAATTGTAATATGTCCCACGCACTTTGCGGAAGACTTTCTTTTTAGAGCTTTCACTTTTTATACATTTATGTAGAACACTTCGTTTTCGAATTGTACTGCACGGTTAAGTTGATTCTTTACAATGAAAGTTTATTTTACTCGTATTTAGAAGAAATAAAAAACTGAAGCGAAGTATTTTCCAGAATAAACCTAGAATGAAACAGTGGACTTCAAGAGATCTCAAAGATTTCAGAACAGTTCAAGAGACTTTATCTATGAAAACAAGTACATTAAATCATTCCTCCGCAATCTTCTGTCAATTATTTATCGATCTCTTCTTTGCATTGACACATAATGATTCATTTTTGTGATCACTTAAATAATACTTAAAAATATTTTTTCGTTCTTCTACATGTTCATAAACAGTATACGTGAGATATGAGAACAAAATTGCTAATTTTTACTACTATATCGTTATCTCCTTAATCCCATATGTAGGGTGGGTGTGGGCGTCGGCTTACCTCGGTGTCTTATCTCTACCTGCACCCACCCACACCCACACCCTTCAAATATCAGGATGTGGGTGTAGGTGTCGTTTTTCTCTTCTCTCACCCTACATCCACATTCATACCAACACCCATCCTCATCCACATTATGAATAATTATTTTATTTAATTCTAAATGATAATTTCATGATATCTTTTACACATATTCAAAATATTGTTTATTCTTTTAGAGATTGATACCACAGCAAAATTTCCAGTATGGCAATTATATTTATATCGTGTTTTAGTTGAGCATCATCTGAAGATAAGTTAGTAGAGTTGATATTATACATCAGTCTCGCGTTCTATAGTGCTTCTTTGAAACTACGTTTTCTGAAATAAGCCTCTGCAAGATTGTAATAAGTTGTAGCAAAATCGGAATGATTGCGTGGAAGCGAATGAAACTGAATAACGAGAGCTTGTTGAAGACAGTCGATAGCTCTATCATAATTGCCTAACATATGACAGACTTGTGAAATATTGTTAAGAGATGCCGCAATGTCAAGATGATTAGGCAGATATAATTTTACTATGATTTCGTGGTATTTTTCGAACATATCCAGTGATTGTGGGTGTGGGTGTGGGTGTGGGTGGGTGTGAGTGTGATCATTTGGTTCAACCTATATTCACACCCACACCTGCACCCACACCCTCATTGTCTATTCTTTATTTTATGTTCATTCCTTTTCTAAACTTAAATATGTGTTTTTCTGAAAATGGTTCATCGAGCTCTTTATCATCGAAGATTGATTTAACGAAATCTTCTAGTTCAAGTTCTTCGAATTCATTATCATTTAATATAAATTCTTTCAATTCTGAAAAAGTCAAAAATATATTATTAAATAAAAAATCAAAACATGGAGTTATTAATATTGATTGATAGATATTTTGTTTTATTTGAACATGGAGTAAGATTGTTCTAGAATTCGATTAGAATTATGTGAATAAAATAGAATAACTTAACATAAGAAAACGTTTCATTTTTTTCATCATCGGCCAATGATAAATCTACAAGTTCTTCAAAATGCCTTATTATGATGGGTCGTACCCTGAGGACAGGGCAGGCCAAAAATAGCTTGTCCTCATCGCAGAGCATTAAAAATAGCCCCCTGTGACGATCTCTAGTGTGGATATGGGTGTCTCTTCTCTTATCACACACCCATACTCTCAAGATTGTGTTGTAGCGATTGGCAAAATATGTATAGACATTAATAAAGGAATCTAAAAAGACTGTTTACAAGATGAATGAGAAATTAGTTTATTTATAATTTTTGAGAACTTTATTTGTTATTAATGAAAAAAAAAAGTTGAAAATTGACAAAAAAGAAATGTTTATCAAAAGTCATTTTATGATCTAAAAATTTGTTTTAGTCAAGATCAATTTCAAATTTTTGTATTCGATGGTTGTCTGCATCAGCAACATAAAGATTACCGTGTCGATCAAATAAAAAATCAATTGGATCTTTGAGTTGCGTAGGTCCGCTTCCAGATTGTTTTTCACCAACGACAGGAACACCTTCTTTTGCACCTGGTAACCAACGTGTTATTTGATGAGTTCTTTCACGCGATACATAAATATTACCAACATGATCAACAATCGCACCTATGGGTTGACTTAATAAATTGGGATTTTCACCCGAAGCTTCTCCTGGAGCAACAAGAGTCCCTTCAGTTGCATCTTTCATCCATTTCATTACACGATTATTGAAATAATCCGCTACATAAATTGAATGATATTTATCGACAAAGATATAGTTAGGTTCATCAAATTGATTCAACTGACTTCCTTTTCCATTCACACCTGCTACAACTGTATCTTCTTTATTTCCGTGCTCCAAACGTCTGACTATATTTTCATTATGGTCAGAAACATAAAGATCTCCATTGCTATGCATTGCTAAACCCCAGCAAGTAATATCACGTATCAATGGTTCTATATCCTGACTATTTTCAAGAGACCATCGGATCACTTGTCTTTTGTTTTTATCGCAAATGATGAGAGATTTTTTCTCTTTATCAAGAATAATATCTATTGGGTCATTCACTTGATCTATGTTACTGCCCTGTTCTTTTCCGCCTGCAACAACTGTACCAATGTCTTCACCAAATTTCCATCGAACAATACGATGGTTTACTCTGTCAGCAATATAAATACTTTCACTATCCTCATCAATATAAATACCATGAGGATGGTGCAATTGATTTAATCCATTTCCTTGTTGATTTCCTCCAGCAACAGTAATTGCACTTTGTTTCCATTTCGTCTTTTCATTAATAATAACCAAAGGAATTAATTCTTCTATAAAGGTATAACAAAGATTAAAAATATTATGAGAGAGGCAGGTGTGATTGTAGACGGATGAGATATGAATTCGATACTACATTCTCATTCGCTCTTCAGTGAGCCTTTTAATATTATTCTATAAAAGTATAATTTATGACAATCGATTATCGAAGATTGAATAAAGAAAAATCAATATTAAAACTGATTTATCTTTCATGAATTACTTCTCCTATGAAACGAACTACTATTAACAAAATCATACCGGTTGTTGTTGTCTCTGTTGTTATTATTTGTGCTGGTTTGCTCACTGTTGTTGTTAGTTTTGGTGCTGCTGCTGCTGTTATTTTCTCTGTTGTTGTTGTTGCTGCTACTGCTTCTGTTTTCTCCACTGTTGCTATGTGTTCTGCTGATGTTGCTGTTATTATTTCTACTGTTGATATCTGTATTGTTGATGTTTTTTCTCGTTTTCCTTTATTCACTGTAACAATAATTGTTGGAATAGCAATAATTGCAACAATTAAAATAATCAAAACTATTATCCAAATTAATTTTCGTTTCCGAAAATGTTCGTATCTAAAAAGATAACAAATTCTTTTTGATAATTTATTTTAATTCATCATATACATACAATGTTTGTAATCGTGTTGGATTTAAGTTAACTACTATAGACTAAAATATTGAAAAAGATTATTTTATTCTATTTTCTTTCCTATTTAATACATTACTTCATCAACATCTATTGTGTCATCGACGTTCATACTTGTTATTTTATCTAAACATGAAGAATTTGAAAATTTGAAATCGACAAAGAAAACTCTTTCGTTTTCTTCAAAGATCATTAATCAACATTAGCAGAATTATAGAAAATATAAATCATCTCTCATTGAATATTTCTTTTTTATATATAAGATATGATATAAAATAATGTGAAAATAATATAGATTTTTCTGTTTCTTACCAATTCAACAGAAACTATTTTGGATGTGTTAAATAAAAAAACACTCTTCTTTTGAAAATATTGTAACATTCAGAATAAAAAATAATCTTATTTCCTTTTTGCAAAGTTAGTTTTGAATAAAATATTGTGCAGATGTGAGTTGTTGTTTTGTATTAATGTAAAAACTCCCCTGAATAAAATAACATTTATTATGATTATATCGAAGAAAAAGAGAGAATGACGTAAAATACTGCCTACGATAAACTGAGAAGGTTTAAAATGAATAGAATATTTATTATTAGAAATATATTTTATTTAACACGATTCAGTTTTTTTTTGGAAAACTTTTCCAGATGTTCATTTTCATGAGCAAATAATTTGTAGAAAATAATACATTAAATGACTCCTGCATAATCTTCTGACGATTATTCATGGTTCTCTTCTTTGTATCGTCAAATAATGAGTTATTTTCAGCGATGGAGTAAATAATGGCTAATAGTACTTTTTTTATTCTTTTGCATGTTCATGGGTTGTATAATTGAGATATGAGAAGAAAATTACTATGTTTGTCTTTCATATCCTTGTTTTTCTCTTCTTCTGCGTATGCATGCGATAGAAATTGTAAAATAGTTGGTATGCCGTTTAAAAAAGATGAATAAAGAAGATAACACTAGTTCAGTTTGAATGAACATTGAATCTGAAAATTTCGACGGAGAATTTGTTAATAATCCAGAGTGAGAATCAAATGAAGAATTCCTTAACGAACACTAGGGGGAAACAGTGGACTTCAAGACTTCAACAAGCGAGACTTCAGTTTTTCGAAAGACTTCAGTAGACTTCAATGGACTTCACGGATTTCAAAAGACTTGACAAGACTTGACAAGACTTCCAAGACCTCATGAGACTTCATGAGACTTTATGCATGAAGTCTCTGTTGTTTCCTCCTCGTCTAATACCTGTATCTCTAAA